AATGCTCTTTTGACCTTTTCAGAACCTTTTGATCGAACAAACACAGCTAGAGCGGTACATGAAAAACAGAAGTTTGACATTATCCTAGATGAATTTCGCAAGGTAAAAATGCACAACAGTCCAATAAAGCTTCACAAAAAAGTGATTACATATAATTGTTTGAAGAAAATTGTCATCGTCCCCCCCCCCCCCCGTGAAACTTGAGATCCAAGACATTTGTGCTTCTCTGATTTTTCTAAGCAATTAATCCTTGGCTTTCTTCCCCCCTCCATGGCTGAAATCCAAAGAACGGTGCAACTCTTTCTGTGCACCCAAAGGGATTTTGGCCTTATGTTTTTCAAACAGCAACTTCCAAAGGCAAATGACTTTGAAATTGAGAGGACTTTCAAATCAGGCAAATGTACCTGCTGTTCAAAGAAGGAAAATGCATCTCCTTAGGAGCCTTGGCATAGGACCTTTTTGTAGCCAGATTGCTTGTAACTCGCATGTCACGACCTCGGTGATCAGAGTACTGTCTTCAGTGTGTTTCATACTTGGAAACTAGTTTGACTTCTAAAATGAAGTATCTGGGAACTTATACAGTGGTATCTCTGGTTACGTACTTAATTCGTTCCGGAGGTCCGTTCTTAACCTGAAACTGTTCTTAACCTAAAGCACCACTTTAGCTAATGGGGCCTCCTGCTGCCGCTGCGCCGCCGGAGCACAATTTCTGTTCTCATCCTGAAGCAAAGTTCTTAACCCGTGGTACTATTTCTGGGTTAGCGGAGTCTGTAACCTGAAGCGTATGTAACCTGAAGCGTATGTAACCCGAGGTACCACTGTCTAGCTAGTATATACATGTAATACTGTATAGCTGTATAGCTATAATACATGTAAATCATATTTTGAAACTGCTTGCAGGAGCAGGAAGCGGGCTTTGGCCAATGGACGTGGGAGGGTCAGCCAGCCCATCAGTCATTCAACATGACAACTTCTGGTGATTTGGGTCGTGTGAAATAATAATAATAATAATAATAATAATAATAATAATAATAATAATAATACTTTATTATTTATATACCATCCATCTGATGGGCTTGCCCCAGCCACTCTGGGTGGCTTCTAGCAAATTAATCATCAAACACAGTAAAACATCACACATTAGAAACTTCCCTATACAGGGCTGCCTTCAGGTGTCTTCTAAAAGTCACAGTTGTTTATTTCCTTGACATCTGATGGGAGGGCGTTCCACAGAGCGGGCGCGACTACCAAGAAGGCCCTCTGCCTGGTTCCCTGTAACCTCGCTTCTCGCAATGAGGGGACAGCCAAAAGGCCCTCGGAGCTCAGTGTCCGGGCTGAATGAGCAGTTCCATTTGCAAACTTTTGCAGCACAGCCAATATCACCAGGGCTTGCTGTCACCACTAGTCAGCTGATCAGCACTGACAGCAAGTCTTGCTTGCCATGAAACAGTCGGAGTGCCCACTAAGACAGCTGTGTCTCTACCTGTCCCACACTTGATGTCCATATGCTGTCCAGTGTGGGGCAGGTGGATGTGGTTTGAAGAAATGACCCTGCAACGATTCGCTTTTCAAGAGAGTCGGAAATTCTTATGGCACACTCAACCCCTTGCACACTGTGCACTGTACTTACTTTGGTTGTGAATCTTACTAATTTTGTTGTCTTTAATATGTTCCAGTATGTTCATTTTTGCATTTTGTTCTGTTTCATAGTCATGGCAGAGATTGAGAGACAGGAGGGACTTGAACTGTGTGCTACCTTTAAGAGCAACTCTACAGAAAAGATAACTGGCTTCCTTCTCCTTAAGTGGACCATTCTGAAATACACAAAAGACATTACTGAAACCCCGGGATGCATTTTCCCCCTCCCTTCCCACTGATCTTATTTTTAAAGAGGAGATTATTCTTTCAAAATTTTGTTAAGGAAACTTTTGTAAGAATTAAATACAACCTTCATGAAATGCATTAACAATTTGAAGACTGGCTTTCCGAAACATATTGAATCAGTGACCAATAAAGAGACTGCTGTAATACTAATTTTGCAAATCTGTTGGGAGTTTGATTTATTGTTAACTTACGTTGTAGTGGTTTGACTCAGCCACATGGAATATTGAAATGTATAGATGAAATGTATGACAGTCAGGCCGTGACTTTAAAGTATAGCATACTGTGCACATTTCCTTACGCGAGAGAGTAGCTCCTGCTTTACAGCTGCAAAATGCAATATGCACTTTGGCTCTCCTTGGCTCTTTTCAGCTTTTAATAATCTTGTAATAAGAAACAGCAACTTTTAAAGAAAAAATAACAACTACACCCTAAATGATGATGCTGATCTGGCTTAATTCTCAATGAGCTCGCAAATGTATTTGGTTTGTGCTACTTTAGATTGCGTAGGACTGACTACTCCCCCATAGAACAGAATTCCCTTCCACATTGAAAACCAGGTGCTGCATATAAGGAGGCCAGGTTAAAACCTTTCCTGACTTGCAGCTTCCTGTGTGGAAGGAATTTCGTTAAATGGAAGAGCCTGTTCAAGTTGTGAGCCCCCCCCCACCTGCAGTCTGAAGTGGCACAACTCATGCAGCAGGTTTGCCACCTCAGCGAGAATTTCTGGGGGTTGTATTCTTTACTGGAATTTTAAAGCAGCAGAATAACTTCAAGGCAGTTGAATCATCTGTTAGGCTTGCATAATGTGTGACATGCTGAGCTGAATGCAGCCTGCCATCCATGTATGGCAGCCCCTTGGGTTTGAAAAGCATTTTGTGTGTTTCTGGCCACCCTGGGGCTGCAAAAAATCAGGATGTTGTCAGGCAGTTTGTCTGCCATTAGGAATGGTCAGTGGGCCCTGTGTTCCTACTTGATCTACAGGCACTGCAGGTAAGATTTTTTTTATGGCAGACTGCTCTATTTTGCTTGATGCTCACTGCAGACTGAGGGTGGCGTTGAACATTACAGTGAAGCAGAGGGAAAGGAAACGCAAGGGAGAATTGTACTTCCTCTTAACTGCACTTCGATTGTGATATATGGATCCTACAAGGATGGTACGTTGGCTTGTACAACCCCCTCCCCAGTTTCCTGCGCCACAACAGCAGTGTAAGGAAGCATACGTTCTTTCCACTTCCTCATACACCCATCCCACTGCTCTGTTGTAAATTGTGGAGCCGCCAGGAGTTGAGCCCTCTCCTACCGTTTTCTTTCCATATATATATATAAAGTAGTGACAACTGCGAAAAATAGCTGCTACGATAAGCCAAGTTGTTGTTGTTTTAATTTGTTTCTATTTTTGTGTAAATATTTGTATGTTGGTCAGCTGCTATATAAATCAGGATTTAAGAAAACTTAAATTTTAACTTTCCCCCCAAGAAGTATGAGACTTATTTTAGATCTGCTGTTGCACAATTTGTGCCTCTTATATTTATTGCAGTCCAATTCATATGTTAACAAATGTTTACTTTTCACTGATGTCGAACTTCCTTTCCCCTCTAAGTTTAATATTTTTATTGTGTCAAGTGGAATAAAGTTTCTGTATTGAAAATAAAGCTATCTTTTGTATATTTCACCTTTTTCTTTCAATCCGCTTCTCGGTTTCTGTATTGAAAATAAAGCTATCTTTTGTATATTTCACCTTTTTCTTTCAATCCGCTTCTCGGCTCTTATTGTGTAGCCTGGTAGTATTGTGAAGAGTGCTTTATGAATCTCAGTGATGTGAAGAAATTTGGATTTAAACTTTTTAGCCTTGCACACGACTTATGGGGCTAGCCCTAATATGATGGGCTAGAAGTATGTTCTGGGACACAGTTTACATGTTGTTGCTGCTACTGCTACACACACTCACAAACACCAGTTTCTTGGTGGCTGGGCTCCATGTTGCATTGATAGTGGGTTGCATGTGCCAATGGTATGAATCACTCAGATCACCTCTCTCTCTCTGCCTCTGTGGGAGCCCTGCTTGGGTACTCATCAGGAGGAGTTAGGTTGATAGACACAAGACAGAACATTTTCAGCAATGATCCCAAGATAATGCCCTTTTTAAAAAGTGCTGGAATGGGGTGGGGGGTGTTATTCAATTGCTTTTGTGCTTTTATATTGTGTTTTTATATTGTAACTACCCTGAGACCTTTGGGTCTACTACTACTACTACTACTACTACTACTACTAATAATAATAATAGAATGTCACTTTTTGTACAGTTTAAAAATCTATAGACTAACCAAAGTTGATGACAAGAAGAAACCATTTCAGTTCTGCTGCCATGTGGTAAGCTCATATTTTCCCAGCCCTGATGGTAGACTTAGGGATTGATTTTGGGACCTCCTGCATGCAAGGCCAAATGTTCTACTGCTAAGCTGAGGTCCTTCTGCCTCAGAACTGAGGCGACTAAATGGGAAGGGTAAAGAGCGAATGAGCAAACATGGATGCTGATAGACCTCCTTCTGTTACTTGATTCCACGGCTGGACAGTAACATTTCATGAGAATCCTGTGCCCCTGTACTTTTGTGTGTGTATGAGAGCATGTGCTGCATATAGACAAGAGAGCACATGCGAAAAGTTCTTACATAACACAAAGTATAAATGGCAATTCATAGCTCACTGGGTGACCTTGAGCCGGTCACAGACTCTCAGCCTAATCTCCCTCATAGGCTTCTTGTGAGGATACAACAGGAAGGGAGAGACCATCTTGAACTCCTCAGAGGGAAAACATGATGTGAATATGATAAGAAACAAATATGTCTTGATCCAGCAAGAGAGAATGTGATAGTAGCCTCCTGGACTGTCTGGATGCTGCAGGGGAAGACCTCTATCTGCATTCAGAGCCACAGGTGGTTAGGCCTGCCTGAGCTCTGGCCCGGGAAGCCATAGATAGATCAAGGCCACCAATTTGCAGACCAGCCACCTATTTGCTGGCCCTGGAAACAAGGTGGTGTTAGGACCCAGTGGCCAGTCCAAGGTGGCAGCAGCGGTTTGATGTTTCAACTTTCCGTCGTTCTATTTAAAGACTTTCCTGAGTCAGGAGAGCCGAGCTGCTGTGGATGACAGTTTGCTTCGGGCAACCCTGGAGAGTATTGAGTAGAGGGGGATAAACACAGCTAGGGAAAGTGACCTGGGGGACAAAATGGAGACCGACTGCAACTATGAGTCTGACGGATCACCTGACGTCTCCATGGAAGATGAAGAGGAGGATGAATATGAGCCAAACAGGTACGATACCTTTCAAAAATGAGACTCTGCAGCCTACTTACAGCCTGTCAACAAGTTATGGAGAACTGAAACGGGGAGCAGTGCCTTTGTGCAAATGCCGTGCGGCATCAAAAAGGAGATGAAAGTTTTGAGGATGAGGGGGAGCTTTCTGACGATTCTGAATGCAGCTGGTTGTGATTCTGAAAGTGCCTGGCCTGTGTGCAAAAGGCATTTTCTATTTAAAGATCCTGCGTTGTGCCAGTTGGATTGGCATCCCCTCCTGCTCCTTCCGAGCTGGCTCGTCACTGCATATCAATCTCCATTACTTTCAGGGTGTGTGTGTGTAAGTGAAGCGGACGAGTCCTTTAATTTGTTCTTTTGAAAACGCCATAACCCACGGTGCAATGAGAGGTGGGGGAGAACTTTAATTAAAGAATCGATTGCTTGCGGGGGGTGTGTGTGTGGAAATGAGTGGTGGTTGTGACTCAGTTTGTGTTTGGAGGCTACAGGCCGTTTGGGTTTCATGAACTTTCGGCATGGCTTGTTGCTTGGTCTGACAGCACAGGGCTCCTAAAAATGGGGTGATTTCAGCTCTGCACCCAATAGATGAATGGAAAGGGCACCCCAAAAGCAGTAGCAGATGTACGTATATAGTTAAGGAAGATTCCTAGCCAGAAAAGTTTACCATGATGGTTCCCAGTTTCTGGTTCAGGACTTTGTAGCAATAAGCCCATTTTGACTACAAAATAGAAACTCACACTGAAACCAGGGAGGTCTGAAACTGCTGGAGGTGAAGACTTGGTAGTACAGGGAGCCTTGTCTTGCTGCTTTGGCTCAAGATCTGCTGTCACTTGGTTATTGAATTGTCCTTTTCTCCTCTCCCTGGAGCCGTCCCCCATGGAGACAGAGCCCTAGCCAGCTGGGGGGGGGGGGGCTACTAGATCACTGCCTTACCTGCACAACTGGTTTGCCCTACCTAGATTTAATAAGAATAAAAGAAGAAGACGTCTTGCTTTTAAAAGAGGGAAACCTCTAGCGGCAAAAACTGGTTCCCCCAAAGTCGTCATGCCACAGATCGGTTTGTTTGTTTCCTAAAATTGATTGTGAAAACCCTCAAAGTGGTTTACAGAAAGACAAAACGATAAAATTGAGGGGAAATTCACAACCGTACTTTAAAACCTACAAAAGTTAAAATATAAAAGCAGATTAAAATCAACTCAACTTTCTATGCATCTGGGAATCTTTTTATCAGGCACCAACTGAAGGTGCCTACTTGATCACAATAGGCCACACTAAATGATCAAGTTCTTACAAAGGCAGAACAGGTATTATGCAGCTCCAATTCGGCCCATCTGCCCTCCTAAATAACATAAGAGGAGTCTTGCTGGACCAGACCAAAGCCAAATCTTGTCCACCATTCTGTTTCCCATAACAGCTAACCAGATGCCTATAAGAATCCCACAATCAGGGTCTGGGTGTCATAACTCTGTCCCCCTCACGCTCCTCAGTGACTGGTATTCAGAGACATATTGCTGCTACTGGAGGTAGCATATAAGCATGGTGAATAACTATTGATAACCTTATCCTCTAGTTTTGTCTAATCCCCTTTAAAAACTGTCCACACTGGAGACCCACCACTATGTTTTATGGTAGCAAATACCGTAGCTCATTTACGGCACTGTGTGAAGAATTTCCTGAGGCTGAATTTGCAGCTCAGCTTTGTTCTCCTGAAATTCCCCGGGAGCAAGGTAGATTTAATACTGGAGGTGCTTTCAGATGGATGTTTTATTGTGTGATGGATCCTCTTGTAGAAAGTCCCCACAGGATATCATTGGCATCAAAATGCCAGGCCATATTCCCCCAGCCATTAAATCTTCATTTACCCTTTTTGTAGGAAACTTATTAAGTTAAGGCTGGATACTTCTTTCGTTTTCTTTGATGGGGTCCCTATTTCTTCATGCTAGCCATTTAAATGGTGTCGCCGGAAATCACCCCCCCCTTTTCATTAACACTTGTATCGCACAAGCACCACATTCACACACACACACGCATCTCCCCTCCCTGACCCTAGAGATGTCTCTTTAGAGGGCCATCTCTTAAAAGCCTTCCGTAAATAAGGAAGCGCTGTATTGACAACTCTCTCTGTTAGCGCTCCGCGCCGCCCTATCTTTATTGAGAGTAGACCGGACGACCGAACTCTAGGTCAAACGGCGGCCGCCTCAACCAATCAGCATTGTCGAACAGCGCCCCTTGCGGCGGCCACGCTGGTACTGCAGGCCGCGAGCGTCTGTTCCCTCACATTTTGACAGCTCTCAATTCATTGTTTCCGAGTTTAATGGACCGTGACTGATCTAATCAAAATGTTGCAAGTTGTTTCCGAAAGGGGAAAGTTCTTTGAACTTCAGTGACTGTATCCTTTACAAATTCACCAAAAATCAGTCGTATCATGGATTTTCACCGGACCACTTTTATTACACTGCATATTACAAGGACTATCAAAGGGGGGTGAACTGGGATTGATCGGCCATAATCCTTGAACCGCGCAGTCACGTACACAACGGCCCTTCGCCGGATGGCGGGGCAACCTTGATAACCATCGGGAAGGGCTCAGACGAAATGCTATCAGAAACACAATAAACTGCATACGGTAGTGTATTCCATACAGACTCCGACAAAGGACCTCGACCGGATTCCCCTCAGGGGGCAGGAAAACTTCGCTCTTTCTTTTGTTTCTGGAAATGACTCATGTGGGAGGGGGGAGAGGAGGTCCCTGCCAGGTGTCAGGATACTCGGATTACCTGGGTAGCTCCTCCTCGACTCCTCCTGTTCTTTAATAAAATCATGATGTATATATGATGTAATTCTGGGGGTGTAGTCAAGGGGATTAGTGGTTAATAAAAGTTGGGGTCTCCCATTGTTCGGGGCTTCCATCTTGCTTCACCTTGAGGACGGTGGGAGCCCTGTCGCGACAGTCTTTACCTAAATAAAGACCAAGCCTACTGGCTGCTGTTTTGCTCTGACTTGCCCTGGTCGGTGTCTTCCTTTGTCCAAGAGAGCCCTCGGATTTTCCGGTAACAATGGCAACACTCCTTTGCGAGATGGTTTGCATTTTTAATTAAGGGGTAAAAGCTGCATTTCATCTGGGCCGAAGATAATTTGTTGATGCGCAATCATTTCTGGGTTGAACAGCGCATACAATTGCAACCACCCTGATACTTATATGCATGGTGCTTACATGTCCTGGTGCTCTCTGGTGTGTGTGTACATATCTCTAATAATGGATTAATACAATTGCCTGCATTTGCAGACTTTCCTTAGCAGTGCAGTTATGGGAGCTGTCATGATCGGCTCCTGCACCTCAGCATGTACCACTACGCCCCTGATTAATATAGCAAGGATAAATGGCTTTGCATTACTTACACGTAGTTTAATTAGCCAAATGGATTCTCTGTGTGTGTTGCTTCTGAAGAAGAATGGGAATGTGATTAATGGAAATGACTAACGTGACTTGATAAATGTGTTGCCTGTCTCTGGGAACTCGCCCAAATGATCTCTTACGCTGCGCCCTGAAGTGAGGGTGGCTGTAGCGTTAGTGGTTTTTAAAAATGTAGCTGCAAATTCATCTTCAGCACGAGAGCGAGCTGGATTAGGGAAGTGGGAGCAGAAAAGTGAAGTTGTCTTGCCCTTTCTCTCTCTCAAGCACTCAAAGTGTACTTATGACCCAGTTGTGCCAGCTGCTGTGCTGAGGGCAGAACTACATTTTATGGGAGGCAGCTGCCAAGATCAGCGCTTCTAAAGCAATGATGTCAAAACACAAATAACAGGGGTTTTTTAAATGCAGATTGCATAGTGGGGAAGAGAGGAGGAAATTACACTATATTCCCCCACTAAAAGAGACCACAGGCATTCAAAACCATTGAAATTAAGAGCCCAAACCACTGAAGGTTTTTGCCTCGTGTCTAAAATAAGACAGAGATGGTGCCAGGTAAAAAAAAAAGTAAAGGTAAAGGACCCCTGTACGATTAAGTCCAGTCAAAGGTGACTATGGGGTGCGGTGCTCATCTCACTTTCAGGCCGAGGGAGCTGGCGTTTGTCCACAGACAACTTTCTGGGTCATGTGGCCAGCATGACTAAACCACTTGTGACACAACAGAACACAGTGATGTAAACCAGAGCACACAGAAACGCTGTTTACCTCTCCGCCTCAGCGTACCTATTTATCTACTTGCACTGGGATGCTTTCGAACTGCTAGGTTGGCAGGTAAGCCTCTCTGGGGACAGCAACCCCAGATGCAGGGAGCCACCACAGAAAGGGCCCATTCTCTTGTTACCACAGTGTGGGTCTCCAGTGAAGGGGCCACATGGAAAAGGGCCTTAGATGACAATTGCAGGGTCCAGTTTGGTTCACGTGGGGAGAGCTGATCCTTGAGGTATTGAGGTCCTGAGCTGCATGAGGCTTTATATGTCAAAAACAGCACTTTGAATTCAGCCTGGGCACCAAATTGGTAACCAGTGCAGTCATGCCAGAATTGGTGTTTATATGTTCAGGTTATCCTTCCCCAGTCAACAATCTGGCCACTGAATTCTGCACCAGTTGCAGCTTCCAAACCATCTTCAAAGGCTGCCCCACATACAACATATTGCAGTAATCCAACCAGAGGTTACCAGAGCATCGACTGCAGATGCTAGGCTATCCCTGTCCAGATAGGGGCACAGCTGGGACACCAGTCAAAGCTGATAGAGAAGACACTCAGTGTCACCGAGGCTCTTTGAGTCTCAAGCTACAGGAATGGACCTAGAAGCACCACCAAGCTAGGTGCCCCCTCCTCCAGAAGGGTTACACCCCCATTCAGAGCAGGCCCACATCCCAACAGAATCCACAGAAGACTTTGGCTCTCACATAGTGCTACCAAGCGGTTGCAAAAAGCACCCAGAAAGTCAAGGTCAAGCCAAGGTTAGGTGCAAGAGATCAGATCTAGGGTGAAATGTAATCTGGGTGCAGCTGAGGAGATGTGCTGGAAATTCACTCCCCAAGATGTAGAGATGGCTGCCAGCATGGGTGGCTTTAAAAAGGGATTCATGGAGGATAAGGCTACACATGGCTACTAACCACAATGGCTTTGCTCTGCTTTCATGGTATAATAATAATAATTTATTATTTATACCACACCCATCTGGCTGGGTTTCCCCAGCCACTCTGGGCGGCTTCCAACAGAATATTAAAATACAATATTCTATTAAACATTAAAAGCTTCCCTAAACAGGGCTGCCTTCAGGTGTCTTCTAAAAGTCTGGTAGTTGTTTTTCTCTTTGACATCTGGTGGGAGGGCGTTCCACAGGGCGGGCGCCACTACCGAGAAGGCCCTCTGCCTGGTTCCCTGTAACTTGGCTTCTCACAGTGAGGGAACCGTCTTAGAAGGCCCTCGGCGCTGGACCTCAGTGTCCGGGCAGAACGATGGGAGTGGAGATGCTCCTTCAAGTATACTGGACCGAGGCCGTTTAGGGCTTTAAAGGTCAGCACCAACACTTTGAATTGTGCTCGGAAGGCAGGAGGACTGCAGTTGCTGGGAATCAGGGAGAGCACTATTGCTTTCAGATCCTTCTCGCAAGCATCCCATAGGCATCTGACTGGTCACTGTGAGAATAGGATGCTGGACTAATCTGATCTATCAGGCTCTTCTTATGTTCTGATGCTAAGTGGATTTGGCACACTTGAACACAAATCCACTCCCCAAATAAATCTTAACTTTCTTGCACTAAGGAAAGAGAGAGGAAAATGCACTGGGAAACACGGGATAACAGTTGTGTGACATCATGTTATATAACCTCCCTGCCAGCAGATCATCACGAATTCTCAATAAACCTTGGATGCCGTACAACCCTCCCACAAACTTGGTGCAAACAAATCAGGGTGAATACTTAACAAACAAGTGACCCTAAAGTTCTCTGGTTTCCATATGTAGCTCAGTCACCGGCTTGGATGCAGTTCTGATTTTGAAGGAAATTGCTCAACTGAATTGGTGGGACTTGACTGTCTGCCAGAGCCAAAGCTGGCCGGCCTCATATCATCCTACGCTGGAAGGTTTGCTTCATTCAAAATAAAACACAGAAGACGTGTCAGTGAGGCATGAGACACTGATCGATTGCAGCAGGTCTGGGCAATCTGTTCGGCAGTGAGCACTGCATTAAAAAGTGTGAAGATTTGCTGCTATTACTGTACCTGGTCAATATTTCTTCTAGTTAAAAGCAAGAACTCTTATCCTAGTACATATTGCAGGGATAGGAGAGAGGCAGTGGACGAGGAGCCAGGAGCAGAAATACTTTTCCTGTCAACATATTTGTTTATGAATCCTCTCTCACCTTTCTTTCTCTCCTGTTTAATTTTAAGAGTCTAAAACAGATCTAAAACAATGGTTTGTCTCTATTCAAGCAACAAGAGCCTGGTTTATAGTTGGGTTAATATTTTCCCATAGCTTTCATGTTTTAACTGAATCACCTTAGATTAATGTCGGTAGGTATCCAACTCTGAAAGGCACGTATTCTGTATCTTACAGGGTGGCCATGTGCCCTACTTTAGAGAGGACACTTCTCTCTTTGAAGCAGTCCTCTGTCTGAAGGGCTGTCCAGTTTAAAGATGAGGAACCACAAAAAGGGAGAGCAGGGACTTTGAAGTTGCCCATTAACTTTTAGTGCATAAATATCAGAGTGAGCAGGCACTATGTGAGACACTATGGTGAGATGTACTATACAGTGGTACCTCGGGTTACATACACTTCACGTTACATACGCTTCAGGTTACAGACTCCGCTAACCCAGAAATAGTGCTTCAGGTTAAGAACTTTGCTTCAGGATGAGAACAGAAATCGTGCTCCGGCGGCACGGCGGCAGCAGGAGGCCCCATTAGCTAAAGTGGTGCTTCAGGTTAAGAACAGTTTCAGGTTAAGTACAGACCTCCGGAATGAATTAAGTACTTAACCCGAGGTACCACTGTATTTCTATTGAAAAATACATTTTTGCACCCTTCTGAGTGGCGTGTCTTGACAAATGAGGTGCATCAGCCTCTGTCACTATATGGCTTCAGGCAGCATCCATTCCAAAGGGCCTGCTGGATCAGGCCAATGGCCCATCTAGTCCAGCATTCTCTTCTTCTAGAGGCCACCTGAATGCCTGTGGGAAACCTTGATTGACAGCTGATTGTCTGGTGCTTGGCTTTGCTCGAATTGTTGTTGTGGTTTTGTGGTTTTTATTATTTATTATGGGGGCTTAATTAGAGGATTTTAAAAAAACACATTGTTGTTGCATTATAACTTGTTAGCTGCCTTGCATTCTTTAGAAAGTAGGCAGGGTGTAGGTTTTTTATTCTTGAATAAATGAAAATTCTTTTTCATGAGATATCACACTTACAGTCAATGCTATAATGTGCTGTAATAGAAAAACACACACGTAATTGATATATTTTAATCTTCTGTGATTCTGTTTTTAAAAATAATAATAATAAGGTTATAGTTTCTTAAAATCTGTTTTTCTTAGCAGTTTAAAAAGCCTTAACCAGCATGAAGAGGTAAAATCGGATGCCATGGATGCCATTCATAGTGAAGATAGTGCACAGACGTGGGAGACAAGTTCAAGTAGATGTTCCACATCCCAAGCCTCAGAAACTAGTGCTACGTCTGGTGTTTATAGTATGGAAAACTCCTACATGGAAGGTCCTCCAGGGAAATCTATATATTTGATGGAAGAAGGAAAGATGGTACAGAAAAGAACAAGGAACTCACCATTTCAGGTGCCCCTGCCACCAAATGAGAAAATGGGCCCAGACAATGAAAAACGTGGCTTTTCTGGAAGGCCAACAGAAGCAAAAGCATTGGAAAGAGAATTAGATCCTGCTGATCCACAGTCATGGACCCTTCAAGTGCAACCTTCAAAGATAAAAAACTATTTGGTACAAATTACACAAGAAGCGGTGGATCCATTGCCAGAAGAAAAAGAAAATGTTTTCATGAAAAAAGCAGAGCTGCCCCTCGAAGGAACGGTAAGAGCTAAGATTCAGCTACTCACTGCAGCATTGGAAGAAAGAAATAAAAAGATTTTCCGCCGGGTGAACAATATGGATTTGCCTCCGCCTACAGTTGTTGTAATCAGGAAGCCAAGAGAACCACCCAAAAAATTCACCAGGCAAGCCATGTTCCAGGCATCTTTAAAGCATCTTGAACAACAAGCCACCATTAAGAATAACCATAAGGAAATCCTGCATCTCAAGCGTATGCAGGCAATGCTTGCAAAGACTGTTCCCCGTAGCAGAGATGAGGAGCGAGTGCGGCGGTCTTTTCTGCCTGAACCTCCAGATAAGGCTTCCAAAATGGTACCACCAACTTCACCGCTGTATACTGACAAAGCAAAGAAGCTGGACACTGAATCACATTCCCCCGCCATGCGAATGACAGCCCCAGAACAGGCAAGGTTTGCTTCACCAGATCGTCATGACAGAATGGAGAAAAGGGGAAAGCAATCTCAGCTTTCTATTACAGCAAATGCTGTGTCAGAAAAGTTGCCCAGCCTCCTTGTTGAAACAGAGGAGGAGGAGGAGGAGGCGGAGGCGGAGGAAATGCAGCCTCCTCCACTTGTTTCTACCAAACCCCTTTCCCAGCCTGCTAATGAAGCAGAGAATCAGGATGACTCAACTTTCTCTAAGCTATCAGAATCTGCAGCTCAGGATTTGCAGTACCCAAATAACATTGCTGCTGAGCAGTTTGAGTCCCAAGATTCTCTTTTTACTGAAATCAGAAACCCAGATATTGGCTTCACAATCCCTTCACAATTTGAGATCAAAGATTCAGGCTTGTTGCATTCTGCTGAAGAGGCAGGGAAGCAAGACATCCCTGTTTGCTCACCTGAACCCGCAGAGCCTGTGTCTGAGCAGGCAAAATTACCTCCTCCAGTTAGTGAAAGAGAAAAGCAAGAAGAGAAACAGCTGGAGGCGGAATATTCAAAGAAAGAAGAGGCGCAGGAGCAATCAACCACACTTTTGCAAGCAGAGCCGGCACATTTGATGTATCCGTTGAAAGAATGGGAAGTTGGGGAAGCTGAAACTGCACCCAATTTATCTTCTGCAGCCAGCAGAACAGAAACACAGGAGCCTCAGAGCGATTCCTGTGAAGTTGCAGAGGAACATATTGGACTTTCACAGCCCACACACTTCATGGGTGGAGCAGAGAAAAGAGAAAACGAGCACCTGGAACCAGATTTGGCAAAGGAAGCTGTTGAGACACAGGTATCTGTGACAGCATCACTACAGCCAGAACAGTCAGATGCACTGCACTCAAGAAGTGAAATTAAAAATCAGCCAGCACAGCCAGGATCTCAGTGGCTGGATTCTTCACTCCCTATTCCCGAAGCACAGAGAGAGGAAATCCAGCAACACTCTCTAGCAGGTGCACAGTCAGAAAGCGAACATCCAGTCATCTCTGAACCTATAAAGGCAACACAGGGATTTGAACTCTTGGAGCCACTGCATCTCAAAGGTAACGAAGTCAGTGCATACTCTCCTGCTGAAGCACTCGACTCTTCAGAGCAACTGTCATCTGTTTCATCTGCTGAGAAGGTAGAAATGCTGGAGACTCAGCAGCCTTCACTAGAAACTGTAACACTGCTTTCAGAACAGCGATGCTCTGCTTTACCCTACCCAACAGAGAAAATGGAGAAAAAAGACAGCCTGCCTTGTTCTCCCGAGACAGCTGCTGAAACAGCAGAAGTATCACTTCCCACTGCCACCTTCCAAATGGCTGAAGTAACAAAAGTAGAAGTTCATCCTTTGTCTCCCACAGAAGTTCCATCAGAAGAATCAGAATCTATTTCAAGAGAGCCGGATGTTGCCATAGATAGGAAAACAACTCAGCTGGTTTCGCCTTTATCTGTAGAACCTCCAAGTAAAGCATCTGTTCCACCCCAAGAAGCAGCGAAAGAAGAAAACCAGCAATGCCCACCTTCAGATGCAAAGCTGAGTTCTGAGGACCAGGATGAGGAAGGCCAGCAAGATGGTTGGTTTCCTTTATTTGCAACCACACAGTTTGAACCAGAACATTCAGCTGAATGTGAATCAACAATGCAGAGCATTAAACAGGATTCCTCTGCATCATTTCCGTTAGGAGAAGCAACTGCATTGCGTTCTGTTGATGATGCAGATAAGAAAGAGAGGCATCCTGACAAATCCATCACTGAGCCTTCACTGCATCCTGTATTCATGCCAGGAAAACAAGGGAGGATGGAGTCAGAGATTGAGCAAACGACTCATCAGTTATCATGTACAGTTCTTCCAATGGAATCAGTCAGTAAACTGCAGTCAGAGGAGGAAATGGAGGTCAATGAGATCCAGACTCATTTATCTGCAACTGGGCAAGATTTATCCCAGTCGGTATATTTGACAGAACCACAGGAAGACCAGGGTATTTCAGCAGCAGCAGCAGCCCTTGAATCTGGTTCTTTAAGTATACCATACACTGATGTTGAAGCAGAGAAATGTGACACTACAGAACCAGTATTGAAAGAGGAGACATATCAGGCTATTCAGGCTGTCACTGCAGAAATGGAAAAAGACTATCTGAAAGTGTCACATATGGTATCTGAATCAGAAAAACATTTAGAGGCACCTTTCCCAGCTCAGAACACAGAGGAAGGAAACCTTCAATCACACACGTTTGTGTCTCCAGAATCAGAAGATGAACATGTCATCTCATCAGAAAGAGAAGAATCTGAATTTTATCCACTCTTAACGCCAACACCTGAATTGGGATATCCTACTGCTGGTTCAGAAACACAGGAGAGCCAAAGCTATTTATCTGATGCATTAAATGAGGCATTAAATGCATTAAATGAGCAGCCAAGCTACTCTTCCTCAGTTCTTGAGGATAAAGCCAAGATAGAAGAAAACCAAACCCCCTTTCCTGAAACTCCAAAAATGGCGCCAGATGAGTCACTGTCCTTTGCAGCCTTCCTCATTAGTGAAGCCAAGGGAGAGCCACTTGTGTCACCTATGGACACAAAGATGACGCCAAAGGAATCAAATTCCATTCCAGAAGATTTTGTTTCTGAGGAAGTAAAGGAAATAGCCCCTCCTTCCTCACCTTTATCCTCAGAACAACTTTCTAAGGAAGTAATTTCATCATATGCTGCTGTTGAAGAAGAGAACCAAGATCAGCCTCATTCACTTCTGAGGGAAGAGTCAAAACATCTGGATGCTGGAGGGGCAGATGTGCAAGGCGGTCAGTCTCATTTGCTTGTTGCAGCACAGCCTGAAGCAAGGAGCCAGGACATTGAGCTGCATTGCCCCCAAACAGCACAACCAGAGCTAGAAGATGTGACCTTGCTGGATTCTACTGAAGAGATCCAGAAGCAAGAAGCTCCCCTATATTCACCTTCCATTGTACCATCTGTACATGAAGAAATATTGCATCACAAGGGAGAAAGAGAAAACCAAGGAACGGTAATTTTGGGCACTGAAGAGACAAAGGAGGAAGATGCTCCTCTAAAGTCACCTGTCCTACCACAGGAGTTGGAACAGCTACGTTCACTGCAGTCAGTAAAAGAATCCCAGGTGGAAAGGGCTCAGCCTTACTCTTCTGCAGCTGTTCAAGATTCATTGCAGCTTCCTGGTGAGACAGGATCGCAGGAAGGTCAGGGCTACTTTAACAAACCTGCAGAAGTGGATTCTGGCGTTTCTAAGTTATCAGAGCTGACGGATGCAGTTATGGAGCAAGAAATCCAGGCACCAAGGACTGAAGCTGTCAAGTTAGAACGCAAAGAGTCTGCTTTGTCAGTGCAGGAAAATGAGAAAGTCCAGGATCCACTGGTAACTGCATCACTGGATCTGGAACATTTAGGTTCATCTTATTCCACAGAAACACAATCCCCAGGAGAGCCACCACCAGATGCATCTCTTCTCACTGAGAAAGCAGAGGAGCAGGAAGTTCGTTCACAACCAGCATCAGTCTCACCAGCATCTGTATTGGATCAATCCAGCTCTGCTTCACTGGATCTAATTGCAGAAGTTGAGGAACAAGAGACCAAGCATCCTCCCAAAGTAGCTAACGTGATGCCAGAAGAACCCTTGTCTTTTGCAGCCTTTCTCTTTGCTAAGGCAAAGAAAATATATACTACTTTGACCTCAGAAAAAGAGAATCTAGACAGTCAGCCTCCTTTCAAGGAAGCTGATTTGTTAATAGAAAGATCAGAAAGCATTTCAACTAGCCCCCCTGAGACTAATGTAACTATTAACGAAGAAACTGAGCTTCCTACAACACATTTTGAAGTGGAACAGTTTGCTAGTAAACCTGAAGCAGATGTTACTTATCGAGATGAAAGGGAAAATATTTCTGAGACTCCTACGCTATCTAATTTAATTCCAAATGAGCCTTCTGATGCTGTAATACCAGAGCCCATAAATGATATTTTAACACACAACTTGCATTCCTCAGTATCTTCTGCAGACTCACATACGACTGACAACAAGACAATACAAATTAGTGCGGGAGACTTTTCGAAAACGGAAGAAATCAAGTGTTTGCCTAGTGCGGACATAACTTTGAAAGAGCCTGAAAATGAATTAAAAGATCACGAGAAACTGAGGGAGATAGCCATACCTAGTGTTGAATTTCATCAAGGAAAAGAGATTTCTGAAGGTAACAAGGTAGTGAATATTCATGCTGCTCCACTCAATTCTTCAGCTGATAAAGAAGAAGAGAAGCATATGCCGGAGAGATTAGAACACCTGGAAACAGCTGCATTGCAGAAAAGAAAACCATTCCATGATGCTGGAGATATGCCTGTTGACCAGGAATTTTCAAGGTGCAAAATAAGTGTAAAAACCTCAGAAGGCATAGAAGAGGACAATCATGAAAATAAGGAAAGCAAATCAAATGAACTTGTCAAGGAAAAGGGGGTCCAGGAAAGTGTAGAAAAGAAAAAGGAAGTTTCTATTGTTCAAGAAAGCTATGAAGATGGTGGTGTAAATGATAACGGTATAGATCACATTGAAAAGCATACTGTCGTTGATGAGACCTGCTTCATCCAGACAGGAAACGAACAGTCTTTTAAGGAAGTACAGAGGCAATGTGAAGTTACTGTAGAAAATTCTGCAACACTTCCAACTGCAGGCACAAAAAATATTATAGAGTTTTCTTCACTAGAAAGAAATTTGGATGAAGGCTTCAATAGAATGGCCGAGAAAGAAAACACAACAGCTAGTCATGAAGACCTTTCAAAAATATTAATCAAAGATGTAATAATTGGTGCTGTTAGGGAAAAGGATGAAAACACAGAGGATAAGCTTAACTTGGCAGGTGAACCCCTATCTAACACACAAAAAGATGTGCTATCCCAATCTCCATTAATTTCTTTGCCTGCCACTACAGTCAATCCTGAGCTTCTTGAGGTGCCACCTACTTTGGCATTTTTATATAAAGATCTTTATGAAGAAGCTGTGGAAAAACCTAAGGAAGATAGCCATAAATATCCATCAAATGAAGAGACTGAGAATACTGACGTATCCGCTCACACCAGAGGCCCTACTCGAGATGATGGTACTGGAATGTGCTTTGAAAGGGATGTTTCTAAAGATGACACTCCAACTTTGGAAGAGTCCCAGAAGAAACAAGTTCTAAAAGATAAAGGTATTAATGAACAAGCTTTAACCCTACAAAGCATTTCAAAATGTGCAGATGAACCAAGTGAAAAGAAGCCTCAGTCTCTTCACATTCTAACTGAAGCACATGCTGAAACGGAGGTCTCGTCACCAAGGGGAACGGTGGAACGGCTGGATGACGCATTGGTAGATAGACCAGCTGAGATCATGAGTGACATAAAAGTTGGAAATGGTCAGCCCACAAATGAAATTCTTTTTGGAAGTGGGCTCTATGGTTCAGGAGCAAGTAATGAGGAACTCAGTCAGAGAAGAGAAGATGAATCCTTGGGCTTTGAAAGGGATGTTTCTAAAGCTGATGGTCCAAATTTGGAAGAATCCCAGAAAGAACAGGTTCTAAAAGATGAGCCTAGGACTGTAAAAGCCTTAAATCAAGCAAGAGTTTCAAAAGGTGAATATGAATTAGATGACAAGGAGTCTCAGCCTGTTTACATTCTAGCTGAAACACATGTGGAAACAGAGGACTTGTCTCCAAAAGGAATTTTGGAGGGGTTGAATGATGCATTGATAGATAGGCCAGTTGAGATCATGGGTGACATAAAAGTTGAAACTTGCCAGCCCACACATGCAGTTCCTTTTGGAAGTGGGCTCTTTGGTTCAGGTGCAAGTAATGATGACAGCAGTCAAAGAAGTGCAGAAGAATCCATGCCTGAAGAAACAGGCCAAGCATTACCAGAAGAAACGAGCGATGAGGAGTCTTGTCCAATACTTGATTATGCAGCAAGTGTCTTTGAAAATGCAATATCTGTGCAAGATGAATCAGAGGAAGTTGCAGTTGGCCAAAACCAGCAATCTGAAATAACAGACGCTCATGTGGTTGTCCCAAAACCTGTTGAAGAAAGCACACAATCTCATGCAGCATTCCACCATGTTAGCACTCCCTGGCAAAGTGAGGGACAACCAGAAGACCAGTTAATAGCACAGGATACACAACCTTTAGACCATAAACATGCTCTCTGTAGGGACACTGAGGGACAAACATCTGAAAAAAGAGTAGGAGAAAATATTGTGGGTGATCTAACTGAGTCCAACAGAGAAGCAGCATACCAACCACCACCTGAAGCAATATCTGACAAGCCTTTTGGGGAACTGGACTACTCTCTGTTGTCACATGATTTTGATACCTATCCATTATATTCAATTAAAGAGGAAGAGTCCAGTGACATTGATGAAGATCTAGCTGAGCTCATGGACTATGAAATGGTTAGCCGAGATGATGTCTTTGAGGAAGAAACATCATCAGAAGTGGTTCATGAAGAGCTGATGTTTGATGACAGAAAATCCTCAGACCGCATTAGTGATAGTTATGAATTTGTGAATGAAAGAGAGGCAAATACGTATGCTGAGGAAGAAGAATTTCAGTTGACGGGTCTCGACAAGCTACCAAGAAATGTTCCAGAAACTGAAGTCCTACAGAAAGAATCAGATCATGAACTGTTAGATAGTTATTGCCGCCAGTGTAAATGTCCCATCTCTGCTGAGGACAAGCTTTCTGGGGAGCATAAAGAGCACACTGTGACAAACTTGGATATAGCTGTGACTGAATTAAAGGTAAGCAATTAACATTTTTGGAATTACAGCCCCGTGTTCTCTTTGAAACTGATGCTTAACTAGGGATGCTTCACTGGACTATATAAGATACACTGCAGTATCAGACAAGCCAATAAAGGTTAGTGACCTAATGTAGGCAGATTGTATTTGGTGACATCCAATGTTAGTCATAAACAGGCTAAGATTAAAGCCATTGATTTTCAATGGATCTACTTTGATTATGACCAACATTGGATATCACCCATCGTGTTTAATTTGTCTCACAGTTGTCTCTGAGGAAGAGCAATTTTGCTTGGAAACACACCAGGCGCAACAGCATTAATGAAAGTGTTTCCACAATTAAACTATATTCTTAGCCCCTTGTGTGGGAGTGGTCACCTCTTTTTTCTGGCTGGAAAGAATCATAGAATCATAGAGTTGGAATAGACCACAAGGGCCATCAAGTCCAACCCCCTGCCAAGCAGGAAACACCATCAGAGCACTCCTGGTTGTCAAGCCTCTGCTTAAAGACCTCCAAAGAAGGAGGCTCCACCACACTCCTTGGCAGCAAATTCCACTGTCGAACAGCTCTTACTGTCAGGAAGTTCTTCCTAATGTTTAGGTGGAATCTTCTTTCTTGTAGTTTGGATCCATTGCTCCGTGTCCGCTTCTCTGGAGCAGCAGAAAACAACCTGTCTCCCTCCTCTATATGACATTCTTTTATATATTTGAACATGGCTAGAATGCAAATACTAAAAAAAATCCCTTGCGCCAGGACCTCCACTCTGACCAAAATAAGTCAAAATTAGCTGGGTGATCCAATGATGGCTTTCCTGCATTGCATCTGCTTTGGCCCTTAGTTTGGAATTTTAAAGTCCTATTTGCAGAACTGGTCCAAGAGCTTTTCCTGCCTGAGCTGAAGGAAAAGATGGCACTTCCCTCTCCACCATTCTACATCCATAACCCAACCAGATGGGACTGAGTCTTCCTTCAGCACTGGTGATTGGGCATCCTCCTCCACTGTACTTATGTACAGTGCAGCTTAGTGGGCGCAGGGGAAAGTGAGTGAGGCTGCTAAAACCACTCCACCCCAGCGCAACTTGCCTAAGGTGTCTTTCTTATTCTGCCTAATGGTATGGTGGTTCTCCCTAGTTCTAAATAAGCACTTAGATTCCTTGTTGGTCCTCTTGAATCTAGGTAACTGGTTAGCTTTCTCTAATATACAGGCTTCAATGTGATGCCTCCTCAGATTAACCAGATCTTGAGTATCCCTATTTAATGATTAAATTTAATGATTAGGATCCAAATAACAGCACAATTTCTCATGAAGGCCCAAGGGGGTCTTTGCACCAGCACTGATTCAGCTGCAGGGCCCTATTCTGCATGGAAAATGATATTTGAATCTGAGGGGGCTTTCAAGAGCAGAATGTAGGCAGGATAGCATTAGTATGTACATTTTACAGATGAGGGATAGAGGCTGAAAAAAAGAATGGCTCGCCTGGCAAGATTTCTAACATGCCCTTTCATGACGTTTGACTCCAGTGAAGAGTTTTTCCTTTTTGTTTTGTTTTTTAAAGGGTGAAATCCATTGATGTACATAGCCAAATTCCCACTGATTTTTAATAGCGCCTCCTTCTCAGTATATAGAGAATCATACTACAACTGTGAAAGAGAAGCAGTTGCTAAGAATATCAAAGAAGTCACATGCCTCCATTTCATTCCCTAGAGTGGTTTCTTCAAAGTCAAAGGACTTGAGCATGTCCCATGACATCATCCCCTGGCTCTGTAACTTGGAGAGGGAGCCAGGAATGAAATCTAGCCTTCATGTGATCTGCTTCACCAGGAAAAAGATGGCTTTCGATCCTTGACCAGTGTGTCTCATTTCCACTATCCACATGTTACTGAGTTCTTTGGTACTCAGACAACAGAACTCTGACTGCTTCAGTTTTCATCAGCTATGCAATATGCTCAGTACAATAAGCTATTGATGGTGGCTATTGGGGGGCGCACGGAATTAAACATTTCTTTCCCCACAAAAACACATTCACCTTGGAAGTGAAGAATGATTTCCCCCTATTTATGCACACAGTATAGTTTGCTGTGCATTTTATAATTCATAATAGGTAAAGGGACCCCTGAACCATTAGGTCCAGTCGTGACCGACTCTGGGGTTGCGGCACTCATCTTGCTTTATTGGCCGAGGGAGCCGGTGTACAGCTTCCGGGTCATGTGGCCAGCATGAGTAAGCCACTTCTGGCGAACCAGAGCACCGCTGTTTACCTTCTCGGCGGAGCGGTACCTATTTATCTACTTGCACTTTGACGTGCTTTTGAACTGCTAGGTTGGCAGGAGCAGGGACTGAGCAACGGGAGTTCACCCCGTCGCGGGGATTCGAACCGCCGACCTTCTGATTGGCAAGTCCTAGGCTCTGTGGCTTTAACCCACAGCGCCACCCACGTCCCTGCTTTTATATTTCATAGGTGATGCTAATTTCCAGCCTTCCTTTAACCTTCCTTTTTAGGCATATAGAGGAATCTGATTAAAGTCAAGAGTGTTTATGAAAACACAAACTGCTTTTGCACAGATGGCCAAGTGCACCCAAGGAAGGTCAAGGAGGCTCCTGCATGGCAGACAGTTATAACTCATGAGTGCTGTCTCTATTATCTCAAGAACCACATCCTGGGCAGCTTTTGAGAAACAGCTTCAGAAGCACAGGAAAGAAAGCAGATCAAAAAAATAAAACCAGGCTGTTAGTCACTTAGATATCATTTAATGAAGATTATTTTACTGGTTTGAAGGCAGGCAAAGGCCTTTGGGGATCCTGTCCTTAGTTTGTAATGAGAAAGCCTTTTTATTTAGATCAGTATGCTTCTGAACACAAGTTGCTGGGAATCACAAATGCATACTGTCCAGCTTTTGGAGACCCCAAATGGGGATAGGTGTCTTCCAGGATGTGCGCCTTTGGCAAGTCATGTGACCTGCACCTCGCTCTTGCCCCACACCCAAAAATACAGCCCCAAAAAACTGGGAGTTTTTTTCAGTGCAAGATTGCTGCACCCCAAATGGCCTTGCATGAAAAAATAGGATGTCCCGTTTTTTCTGGGGCACTTGGCAGGTATGCAAGTGCTGTTGTAGCTGAGGTTCCATGTTTGGGCTTCCCATGGGCATGTGGTAAGAACAGGGTGCTTCTGGGTGGGCCTTTGAACCGATCTAGCAGGTCTCACCTTATGTTCTTAAGTGAACTGCTTGCTTAATTGATTCCATTTATTTAAAAACTGTGTATTGCCCAAGCTTCAGCCTGAGTGCCTTTTGAAGGATATGGCTTCATCATTGAATTAACAATCTCCTGTTGCTAGAAGGAGAGGCCATCTTTAATCGTTTATTTTCCATTTCCCTATCTAAGTAATATCCCAAAGCCAAGGCAGGTGGTTTTTCTGTAAAGTCTGCCTGTCAGTCTCACCCCTAATGACAATTAATTCATCAACTAAAGTTTTAGTGGATTAATCAGTTTACTGCTTAAATCTATGAAAATTTTCAAGCTGCATAAAGAAAGGAAAAATGAAGAAACCCCCATAGTGCCTTCCAATTTATTTAATCTTTTGTGATACTTATTGCCTGGCTTAAAATCCATCATGGATAATTTTCCTTATCCTGCAGTGTGGTTTTTGTTCTAGTACAACCTCACCAAGTGTCCCCGTGACCCCTCTGGGGACAGTGATCCCCAGAGGTGGGGATTTGGGAAATTATTGTCAGTGGGACGCGACCAGGATAATGGGCCTGATCCTTGCAGTATATCAATGAAGCACTGAGCCATAAGATGCATTCTGAGATTAAACATTTTGTTTTGGTCTAGTTTTTATGTAAAATATGATAGCACCATCTCGCAACTTCCTGACCACTTTATTTAGATGGTTGTGAAACTTTAATATTTCAGAGCCAATTGGATGGATTCCTAGATGTTTTGCAAGAAAGATCTTTGAAGATCGAGGGGTTTGTCAGTGAGATTGAGGCTCTGTTTAATTCTCTCGAGGTAAGTGTGTGGCATCTGCCTTCCTTCTCATTTGTTGAGAATTTATTTGTTGAGAATTTATTTTTGTTGATATTTTTTTTTAAACAATCATTCAACTGGCTGGGCCACGATATGAACATAACATTTTCTTTTTATGGAAGAGGTGACTTTTAACAACATGCAATGGACACAAAACTCATTCCAGCTTTGTATGAAACATTCCATCCTTCTGCCTTTCGGAAGCTGGTTGTCAAAGAGACAAACTCAGTTCAAATTATTTCATTGAATCCTCTGAATTTCTGGTTTCCTTTGCATTTCTGTGGCTTTATACTACTGTTTTTAGATTCTGTATTGGTATTTCGTGATATTGCTTATTGTTTTTATGTTATATATCGCTTAGAGATTTTTAAAATATTAAGCAGTTTTCAAATAAATAGATAGAACTACTGAAGGGTTCAAGTCAACCATCATTCTTTTAGCCCAAGGGTGGGTGGTTTTTCTCTCTCCTGCCAAGCCTTTCGTTCCCTCAGGTCTAATCTCTTGAGAGCTACATGACAGCAGTGGGCAGGGCAGGAACTGAAAGTGAGTGTGGCCATCCTTTTTTTCTCCCTTATTTTTAACCACACACTTTTCGGATTCTGTCATGCCCTTCCTCTCCTCTCTCCCTCCCCATCACTCTCTCACTTTGCCACCTCCTTTTCTTTCTTTCTTTCTTTCTTTCTTTCTTTCTTTCTTTCTTTCTTTCTTTCTTTCTTTCTTTCTTTCTCAGACCATTAGTTGAACTTTTCTGAATCAGACCATTAGTTCTACATTGTCTGGCAGCAGGCTCTCCCAGGTCTCAGACACAGATCTTCCCAGTCCTGCCTAGTCCCCGAGACCTACTCACTTGTCAATCACCTGACATCACTGTGTGATTTCCCTTTCAATCGTCTATAGTCTCTGGGCTGAACTAAAAGAGACCCTCTTTGTGAACCCCATGGAAAGCTGTTGCTAGTCACCACTGAACAATCTAAGCAGGGAGAAGTGGCCCTGAAATATCCAGTGCTCAGGAGAAAAATTCACCAATGAATTTTATTTTTTTCCAACATCTGGAATTTTTTTTTAACCTCTAGGAAAACTGTAAGGAAAAGGAGCAGCTTTTGGATGAGCAAAATGAAAGCATCATCAAGACTGTGATAGGGCACCATGACAGAAAGCAGCAGAGCTTTGAGGAAGTAAAGAATGCAAAAATGGACTATCTTTATGAACAGATGGTTAATTTTCAAGAATACATTGATACAGCAAAGGACACGTTGGAGGCGATCTTAAAGGAAACTGAAGAAATGGATGATTTTGTTTTCCTAAGTGTGAGTATAAAATTACACTTAATGCTGATAAAAATTGTGCATTGTGCTGAAAATATATATATACACAGAATATATTCCTACCCTACATAACAAAGGAATAGAATTTATGTCCATTTGTTCTAAATCTATGTGCAAATACTCATAGACCCATCACATAACTGGGATAGAAATTATAGGCTGCAAACCTATATACACACTTACCTGGGAGACTGTAGAGGCTTAGGCTCCAATCCCTACCTAAGAGTAAGCCCTATGGAACACAGCAGAACTTACTCCTGAGTAAATGCACATAAGGAATCCACTGTCAGGTTCCAATTCTGTGCACTTACCACTTAGTAAGGCCCACTGAGGAAGAGAATCACAAAAATGGGATTGTGCTGTTGGGCTCTAAGCTAGTGACCCTAGTTCAGTGCCCTTCCCCCCATGGACCTCTTGAAAATTGTTGGGGGTCTCAGCAGACCGCTTAAATGGTTTTTCTGCTTGTTGTAGCAGCCATAATGTGCTATGCTAGATGCTGGGTGATCTTTAATTATATTTTTGTTGCTTCTTTTATTTCTTTTATTGCATCACATTTTTTATACCATAGAATTAAAGAATAGAATTCCATACAATTCAAAATCAATATGAAATAGCCACAGTAGACTAGGCATAGACAAACTCAGCCCTCCAGATGTTTTTGGACCACAATTCCCATCATCCCTGACCACTGGTCCTGCTAGCTAGGAATCATGGGAGTTGTAGTCCCAAAACATCTGGAGGGCCGAGTTGCCTATGCCTGCCAGTAGACTTTTCTGAACGATGCCATAACCTCCAATAGAAAGTGGACTAAAACTGGGGTGCCAGCTTCTGGGACCACACTCCTACACAAGTCATGTCACCCAAGAGAGATCGGATCACAGTGTTTTTTTCCAGGCATGGCACCCCAAAATGCACAATTTGCGGCACCATGCAAGATTGCTGCCACAAAGAAAGCACTTTTTTCATGGATAAGGTAGATAATGGACTATGTAGAGCAATCAAAATTAACAGCAAAATTAAGAGAATCTAATAATGAGTGTTTTATGGAAGAATGGATGCCATTTTCAGATTATTTAAAGAAATGCTATAGAATGATGAACTCACAGGCAGAATTTGAGCTATGAGCAACATAAGTAATTAGATTATAATATTGTGAGATTGTGTGTAGAAAGTGAAAGTAGCCTGTTGTACCAAGGCAACCTTTACATTCCTGCCCACCTGCCACTGGTACAGTGGTACCTTGGTTTTTGAACGTCTCTGTTGACAAACGTTTCGGAACTCGAACGCCATAAACCTGGAAGTAAATGCTTTGGTTTTCGAATATGCCTCAGAAGTTGAACAAGAAACGCGGCTTCTGCTGAGTGCAAGATCCTAAGGCCTAGCTGTTGGCTATTGAGTTTTGGTTTTCGAATGTTTCGGAACTCGAATGGTCTTCCGGAATGGATTACGATTGAAAACAGAGGTACTACTGCATATGTGTTGTCCAGAAGGGAATGTGGCCTCTGGGATGATAAATATCCCCCTCCCCTGTGCTATACATCTGGCACATTGGAGAAGAACCCCCACATCTCTGAAACTATACCATTGCTAATTAATTTGTACAACTGGAAGTAATCTGAAATGCAATACGGTTGAGGGATCCATGGTGGGCTCTTAACTCATGTTATAAAGTTATTGAAGCTTGCAAAGTCTCAAATACAGGTATTATGCATATCACTGTGGTGTTGCACCTCTGGAGGGCAAGATTCTGCAAAATGCATATGAGGTTAGGAAGGGTGTGCATGTCTGAACTGGTACAATATCAGAGCTGGGGCATATGTCCGTGAATGGGATCTTGTGGATTTGATGTCCAGTATAATTTTGTGACACGCATTAATCTGTTCCTTCCCACGTTCCTTTTCTTCCCATAGTCATCAGAAGAAATAAATAAAAGGTATATGAAATGTAGTTTTGGTGCATTATAGTGAGTATTAGGAACGGCATGTTTGAATGCTTTTTAATACTTCCAAGCTCCGCTGAAGGCATGCAGCCATTTCCTCGCCAGATATTAAGGAGGAAATTGTGTGCTTGGTAATGCAGCTGAAAGTGTTTGAAATATTTGCATGCATTTTCTCATTCATCATTTAAATACTAATAAATATGGCATTATTCAATTCTGTCTTTCCTGCAATAGCATCTATGTAGCTGATTTTTTAAAAAGCAGGTGTTTATCACTGCTGTACACAACCATTTTAAAATTCCAGATGCATTCTGTTAAAATGCCAATATTTGTGAGTGTTCCTGTTTTGCTGATTTAATTTCAATGTTAGATGAAATGTTAATGAAAATGATCCTAGGCGTCTCTTTGGTAGGCTGAGCTAAATTTAGACCACAGAAGTCCTGCTAGGCCAATGAGTTTTGAACTTGTCCTGGTATTTCTGCTTCCTTTGCCAAGAGGATTACATTGAAGCTGCATGTAGTTAGAGATGGTTTTTAGAAGGGCTACTCCCCATAGTAAAATTAATATCAATCCAGGGACCATTTATTTGACTTTGGAAATGATGTATGGCAAGAGATAAAACTGTAGGGTTATTGGGGGGCGGGGGGGGGATGCACTTCAGACAGTTGAAAGCTTATTTGATAATACACCTCCAAGGCCAAATAAAATAGTGGAATGGGGGAATAATAATAATAATAATAATAATAATAATAATAATAATAATAATAATAATAATAATTTATATGCTGCTCATCAGATTGGGTTGCCCCAGCCTCTCTGGGTGGCTCCCAACAAAATATAAAAAACACAATAAGACGCAAACCATAAAAAACCTCCCTTCAGATGTCTTCTAAAAGTCAACTACTGTAGTTGTTTATCTGTTTGACACCTGATGGGAAGGCATTTGACAGGGCAGGTACCACTACTGAAAAGGCCCTCTGCCTGGTTCCCTGTAGCTTCACTTCTCACAGTGAATGAACAATCATGGCTGGCTGGGACCTTGAACAGGAACAGTGAGGCTTACACAGTGCAACTTTTTCTTGCAATTCTCACTTGCATTATTTAAAGAAGTGCAAACTCATTAGCCTCATTAGCACATAACAGTAAAGCATGTTTAGTTAATAAAACAGAGGTAGCCAATGTTGTGCCCCTCAGAAGTTGTGGACTCCAGTTTCCATCAGCCCCAGCCAGCATGTGCAATGGTCAGGAATTATGGGAGTTGTCATCCAAAGTATCAGGAATGCACCACATTGGCTGCTCCTGCAATAAGCCATAGTCAAAGATGAGACATTGGACAGACAATGACTTACACCTTTTATGCCTCCCTTCCTCCATTAAAGGAGGGAAAGGCAAGCCAGGTAGACCTGTTCTTCACTCATGGCTCCGTAGCTTCTGGATGGTGACGGCTTTTTACACCCATAGTTAAAGAGCAGCTCTGGGTTCACACTGAATGCTGAAATATAATTGACAATAGCTAAGTTTTATAAATCAGCTATAAAGCTTGGTTAATGAGCAATCTTTAAGCATAGTTGATAACCCATAGTTAAGCTGCTGGGTTGGTTTCCCACATAACAGTAAGCTGTTGTTTAATAAACCATGGTTTAATATTAGGTGCAGACTAGACCATTGTCTATTTGCTATTTAAACAATAATTCAGTTGCATTCAGCGGCACCAATCTTTTGCATAAAAATCTTTGGATGTTTCTTCTGTCTCAGGGTTAAAAATATATTCTTTTCTCCTTCTCTAAAATGAGTTGGCAAATAAGAGCTAATCCATTTTGCTTTCATTTTTCCTTCTTTTTTGGGGGTTGTTAGCGACTCACCACCAGCTGTTGTACATTATCTCTTTGGAATCAGCCGGCTTCCTGGATGCTACAGTCAATTTTCTATTGCATTCAAGAAACACTTCAAAGGATATTGTCTGTGCATTTGAACGCCTGCATTTCTTAAGGGGCTTGCATTGAACTTTAATTCTGAACACTACTCTGCTCCAGAATTGGGCAGTTATGCATCTGCCAGGCAGTGCTATATCTTCAATTTCAAACTCAGGCATGAAATTCACTGGGTGACTTTCATGCTTGGGCTATGTCTCAGCCTAATCTATCTCATGGGTTGTTGTGAGAATAAAATGGGGAGAAGGAGAACCATGTACACTGCTTCAAGCTCCTTAGAGGAAAGAGGGTTGTTGTTGTTGTTATTATATTAAAAAGTTGTAAGGGCTCCTGCACATTTAGTAGTTGTGAAGAAGAGAGAGGTTTAGTACGAGCAACCAGTTAGTCTAATTCCAAATTGGGTTTTGAGATAAGAATCTAGACATCCATCTTTTCCCTAAAGGGTTCTGAGGCAGCAGGAGAGAATTGGGCAGCTGTGTCTTCATTCTGCTGCTCGCCAATTGTTTTGCCTGCTCTCTTTTCCTGCATGCAGTGGGGGAAATAATCACTATTCTGATTGCTGCCAGAAGACAGAAAGGAAAGGGGAGCTTGGGTCAAAGGTACATAGTGCAAACCATGAGCTGATGTTACACACATATTATGGAAATGCCTTTCAATGGGTATATATTTCCCTTTGCATAGGTTACTTTCTGCAGTGGAGAATATTCTGGCTGTGGAAAAGATACCACCTGCCTTCTCACAGTTTGAACATTTTGCAAGTGGCTCAGCGAATGGCAACCAGACCTTAAAACACATGCCTGGTAAGAATCTGTGCAAACATTTGGTGCATTGCTTGAAAACGCATGAAACCTAAAAAATAAAAAAGGGAGATGTACACAGGAACGGAACTGTGACATTGCTGGCTTCTGCATGTAATTAGTAATCAGCTGAGTCTGAAGTGAAGCCTGATTGTGCTTGGATTATGGAGGAGGAAACTGGAGAAGGAGCAACGATCACTTATTGTTCATGCTGAAAAGACAAGTCACCTGCAGGTCTAGATTAATCATGATCCCCAGTCATCTGTAGCAGAGCATCTTTGCACATTACAGTGGTACCTCGGGTTAAGTACTTAATTCGTTCCAGAGGTCCCTTCTTAACCTGAAACTGTTCTTAACCTGAAGCACCACTTTAGCTAATGGGGCCTCCTGCTGCCGCTTCGCCGCTTGGAGCACGATTTCTGTTCTCATCCTGAAGCAAAGTTCTTAACCCGAGGTACTATTTCTGGGTTAACGGAGTCTGTAACCTGAAGCATCTGTAACCTGAAGTGTATGTAACCCGAGGTACCACTGTATAAGCAAGGGCCCAAAGAAGGAGTTCAAGTGAGCTCCACTTCTTCTTGTTGTGCTTCCGGGGCAATATGAAAAAGGAGAGCTTGTTAACGTAACAGCCGGCTGGGTGAGGCCAGTGGCTTATTAAGCCCAGTATCCCGTTCACACAGCGCCCAACCACATGCCTGCTCATCTCCCCTGGAAGCTCTCCTTGTGCTTGGAGTTTCCACCTTTTAACATTGCCCCTGCAAATACATAGCTCACTTCTTTATTTAGTAATTATTTCTGGCCAGGAAGAGTCAACATGCCTTGCCCTCAGGTCCCTTCTAGGGCTGAAACCCACATTGCCCCTCCTCCAGCCAAACAAATCCTGATGTTCTGAGCAGTGCTGAGCAGCTGCATCTGTGACGGGAACTTCCTGATGGAACAAGCCTGCCTTGGAAGAAGGAAAGGATCTCTCTTTTGCTAGAGATTTCCTGCATCAGTTTGGAGGTAGCAGGGAGTTGACCCAGATTACCTTTGAGGTCCCTTGCATGGTCCTACATATCTAATAGGTTGGTTCCTCTTCAGGGACACAGAAAGCAACTAATTTTCCACCCCACCGATGTTGCTTTATTAGCCTTCTTGTAAAGCATTTTAACAAGAAATATGAATTCTGAGAACTGCTCATTTGCAGCCACCCACTCCTTCACCTTTCCCCCAGCATCTAATTTTATGTTTGTTGGGAGAGTGTGTGTGTGTGTGTCATTCTTGAGAAAAGTAGATTTTGGTGCCAAAATCAGCTATGTATAACCAGCTTTTTAAAGTGATACCATTTCAAATTGCGTTTGCGACGGCAACAAAATCCATCCAAATTACTGTTTTAGAAATTGGTCGCCTATTTGCCCATAGGTAAAGCTGAGACACTGTGTATAAATATATGTCTCTTCACAAGAAGCCAGCTGTTTAGTTCATCTCACACCTTCCCTCAAAATATACAAGTGTTTTCCATTTGAAAAACACAAGAAAAGCAATTTTCTTTTTTAAAAGAGAATTTTGGAGAGTGTCTAGTGTGTGTTGATTTACCACATATGGGAGTTGTAAGGGAACCAAACACATCCCCACAAACACAGTGGAAGACTACACAGTTTAGTGGATTCAGCCCTGGTGACTCCATCCAGATGAAGGATTCATGTATAAAGTCCTGCATCAACTTCCTTCCTCTCTTTCTGCAGCAGTTGTACTTCCTGTACTTAGAACTGAATCACTTCCTGCATTTGCGTGTTCAGACCCAGAAACCTCCTCCCTAAGTAAATTCACACCTGACTCAAATTTTTGGTTTGGTTTTTGGCAGAATTTAGGCCACAACTTTATTGATTACATAAAGTGACTGGTTGCATAGGCTCTGGTTTGACTAGCTCCCTGCCATGCAGGTAGCCCTGACCCAGGCCACCAGCATAGGTCAGCCAAGGGTGAACACCTGGATAAGCGGAAAGCTGGGAACAGGCTCAGTCCACCACCCAAATGTCCCACTGGACTCAGGTATGGACACAACCCCCTCACAGGTGTTGACCAAATCATCGAGTCCCTGGATTCCTTTAACAGAATACCCTTCACATAGGGATGGCGAGAGCGTTCTGCCATCCCTATCACCTGAACCAGAGCCTATCCGCAACCTTACAAGTTGTGACAATTTGCTACGCGGCAGGCAAAACCCAAATGGCAACAGCCAATCAGCCAAGTGGGGGAAATTCCTGCCATGCCCCTGTCCCAATGACAGACGACACACGACGGCATAGCAAGGTCAAGAGCAACAAGCCCTAAAAGTAGGGAGAGGTGGGTGGGTGTTCCGAATGCATGTGCCGAAAGAGGAAGCTCTGGGTCACATGCATGGGCATAAAAGGGTCCCGCGAACCGTTTGGACTGCGTCCCATTGGCCAGATTGAACCCAGCTTCGAGGGACCTACCAATCAGGTATTGTGGCTGACCAATCGTACCCACCCACAACACAGGGGGTCGATTGTCCAGCTTTCACCAGAATACATGCCCTCTTTAAGGGAGGACCCAATTTCTCGATTAGTGATGAATCAGTAGTGTGGGAAGCTGTTATTTGGGCCAGTCCCTGTCAAGAGTATCAGAAACCCTTCCAGCTTAGATCTTGATTCTTCCACTGCCTGTCTTGCATGCCTAAGTGAAAACTCTGATTCACCTGGACTGATGTTCCACCACTACAGTGATGGAAACTGGACCACAACAAAAATGTTTTAGCAAGAAGCATTGGTACCTCGTGAGGTATGCCCTCATTTCTTTTGCTCCAACGCTGCCTCCAGACAAAGAGACTTTGCAGATTTTTTAGTCTCAATACCACTTTCCCAGGAATACAGAGTATATCACTCTGTATGTGATTTCATTGACAGTAATATACAAAAAACTCAGCACCTTCTAATACTTGAGAGCCTTAAATGATATTTACAATGCCAAAATAATAATGATATACACAAAATAATAATGGCATACACATACACAATATCTCAAAGCCAAACAGTCAAAATTTCCTGCAATAAGTAAATAATAATAATAATAATAATAAATTTTTAAAAACCTCTGTGTGTATACTTGTTGCTGGTGCGATTCTGATGGAACTCCGACAATGAGATAACTGGATTTCAATCTCTGTTTCGTAAATTTTTTTAACTCCACAAAAACTTGTTAACTTCAAATGGTAGAAAGGGGGTGAAACTAAATAGCAGGGGATCCATTTTTAAAAAATATCAGTCTTGGGGCTGGGATCTGATAGGGAAACACAATGTTGAAAAAGGTGTATAACATTATCCCCCCTGCACTTCTTTTCTTAATGGAATTTCCAAAGTAGGACAAACAGCATCTTTTTTGGAGGGAAATTTGTTGGGGAAATGGCATTGGGTGTGGAAGGGTTGAAACTAAACCCCCAATGTTGTGATCTACACTATTCCATCTCTACTTTAGCACCTACTTCATTGCCATGGTGGGTTAACAGGCTTTCATGCTCGCTGAAATAATTATTCTGTCTCCAGCCTGAGTAAATAAGGAAATATAATCTCATTTGTGTTTGGTGATGGGAAAGATGGATGTTTTGAATGACAGGCAGCTCTTTTCCTTAATCACAGAAAATCTGCTGGTGTCAGCATGTGCTTTGTTAGTGCCACAGGAATTCATGATTGCATCAGAAAATAACCGAAAGCAGAAAACTTTTTTTTTTTAATATGGATCTTAATGTTCATTTCACATCAAATGGAAATCTGCCAAGGAAGGAGAGGAAGGGAGTATTTTCTTTTGTTCGACCAAGTAATTTAATACTGAGTGATGTTGGTTTTGAACCTCTCTTTGCAGACATCCTACATAGTTGGGATCAATAGCCCCAATATCTGCATGCTTAGGTGGAATAGACACATTTTTAGATTTTCGCAAATCCCCATAAAGGTGTTGATCAGTTACCGTATTTTTCGCTCTATAAGACACACTTTTCCCCTCCTAAAAAGTAAGGGGAAATGTGTGTGCGTCATATGGAGCGAATGCAGGTGGGAGTCTCTGCTCAGCGCTCCCTTTAAAGAGCGTGCAGAGTGTGTGTGTGGCTCTTGGGGGCTTTTACCTGAGAAGGGAGAAAGGCTGCCCTTCTCCCTCCTCGGGGAAAAGCCCCAAGAGCCACACGTATGCTCCGTGCGCTCTCTAAAGGGAGCGCGGCTCTTGGGGGAGCCTTCATCTGCTGTCCTGGCTTCTGGCTTAGCCACACGCAGCCTCTTGAGGGCAGGGGGAGCCTTCATCCTGCTGCCCTGAAGAGGCTTCGCTCGGCTATCCCAGAAGCCAGATCCCTCTTGCTGTTCTGGCTTCTGTGATTCAGAATATTTTTTTTCTTTTTTTCCTCCTCCAAAAACTAGGACCGTCTTATGGTCTGGTGCGTCTTATAGAGCGAAAAATATGGTACGTTGAAGGCTCAAACTCCTAAGCAGCTGGGAGGGCAGTTCTAGCAGTCATACGCTTCTGCTTCAAAACTATATAGAAAAATATATATTTTTAGAGAGAATTTTGCACTACAATGCTAAGGAATTATCCTGAGGAATGTTTTTTAAAGAAAAATGGCAAATGGTGGAAACGTGGAGGACTGAATATACAACTAGAAAAATGAGACATATTGACAGATTTATCCATTCCTCACTGCAGCCTGGAATGCTCAACAAACAGAGAGGTGTATGAATTACTGATTGCCTATTTTCTTGCAGTCCCACAGACTCCAAAATTACAACCTCAGGATCCAAACTCAGCTACAAGCACATCGATTGCAGTGTATTGGACTGTGAATGAAGATGATGTCATTGATTTTTTCCAGGTCTATTGTATGGAGGAATGCCCAGGAAACAGAGAACAAAGTGGTGCGTGAGTGATTGTGCCTCTCTGCTAGCTGGAGAAGCTGGAGAGGGAAAAGTTTATAGAATCAAATTATAGGAGTAAATCAAAAGCAATAAAAGACATGATACAAAAGCAATATGATAGCATCTAAGAATGTTTTAGAATGGCAGTTTTCATCAGCCACAGAAAATGTGCACTACATCAGTGATCTTTTGTTTCTTATGCTCCAGTTCCTAGGGTTATTTGCGCAAATGTTTGGACCGCATTAAACTTGCTGTTGTTTTGGTCACAAGTCTTGCATTGCACCACTTCCTGCCCATTCTCTCATTCCTCCTATTTCCTTATTGGAGGGCGGTCTTAATGTAAGTCTCTTACATAAGTGCGACATCCCTATTGAAGCTAAAACGGCTACTTTGCTATCTTCATTTCAAGGTGCTGTTTTCCCGTTCTTACGTGTCCAGTTTTGTGACAACCCGCATCAAAATCTGGATGCATGGGTGGAGTTGTAGAAATTCAGCATTTATTAAGGCTGGGTAGGAAGCCAAGGCTGAAGAATATACAGCGGTACCTCAGGTTAAGTACTTAATTCGTTCTGGAGGTCTGTTCTTAACCTGAAGCACCACTTTAGCTAATGGGGCCTCCTGCTGCCACTGCACCACCAGAGCACGATTTCTGTTCTCATCCTGAAGCAAAGTTCTTAACCCAAGGTACTATTTCTGTGTTAGCAGAGTCTGTAACCTGAAGCGTATGTAACCTGAAGCGTATGTAACCCGAGGTACCACTGTACATACAGGAAATGCATGGGTCGTAGTGACAATGAATGAAAATAAAAGTGACAAAATCATTGGCCCTGAAGTGCTCTTTAGGCTGCATCCTAGGCACACTTACCTGAGCATAAGCTCCATTGAACAAAGTAGGACTTGTTTCTGTATAAAGGTGCACACTGTTAAGGAACAATATTAATAAGATACAATAGTACCAACTAGACAGAATTGTACCTCCCTAGATACTATGAATAGCAGAGCTGGTTTCTAAATATAGTATAGCCATACCTTGGTTGTTGAACGACCTGGAAATTGGACATTTTGGCTCCCGAACGCCCCTTTCCCCCTAGTCTTCCAGAACCTACAGAGGTATGAAGAGGGCAGAGCAGAGACAAACAAGGTGGTGTGGTCTCAGATTGCTTGGAAAGGACCTGGAGGGAGGAGTCTTAGAGAGCGGTGGGAAGGCAAGGACCTTCAGTCCTCGCAACTGCCTTATTGGGGCAAAATCTAGCAGGAGGAGTTGCTGCGCTCACTAGGCCTGTGCTGTTTTGTATCTTTGAATATAGAGTTAATTTCACTGCCACCTTGTGAGTTATTGTTGACCTGCCATGACATTCTCATGACTTCTTTCCTGTGTGTGTGTGTGTTTACTTGCTCTAGGCTTGGTAGAAGAATACCGCGTTACTGTGAAGGAGAGCAACTGCATTTTGGAAGATTTGGAACCAGGTCACTCTTATAGTGTGTGGGTTATGGCTGTGAACTACTCAGGATGTAGCTTTCCCAGTGGCAAATCCACATTTAGAACGGGTAAGTAGCTTGCAAATTTCCCCGGTGTTTGTAGTTTTTCTGTGTTTAATACAGAGGGTGTCTAATGGAATGGATGGAGAATGTGGCCTCTGTGCCCTGTATTGATCTTTGTACGAGTGTGCCCTTGGAGATGTTTCAAATAGATGGATGTCTTTATGAGATGCATATTGGGCTGGTTCATACATGCCAATGATGATGCCAATGATGCCAATGATTTGTATACAGCTAAACATGACAAGAGGGATGCGGGTGGTGCTGTGGGTTAAACCACAGAGCCTAGGACTTGCCGATCAGAAGGTCGGCGGTTCGAATCCCTGTAATGGGGTGAGCTCCCGTTGCTCGTTCCCTGCTCCTGCCAACCTAGCAGTTCGAAAGCACATCAAAGTGCAAGGAGATTAATAGGTACCGCTCCAGCGGGAAGGTAAGCGGCGTTTCCGTGCGCTGCTCTGGTTTGCCAGAAGTGGCTTAGTCATGCTGGCCACATGACCCGGAAGCTGTACGCCAGCTCCATTGGCCAATAAAGCGAGAAGAGCACCCCAACCCCAGAGTCGGCCACCACTGGACCTAATGGTCAGGGGTCCCTTTACCTTTAAACATGACAAAATGCAGTGCTGCCCGCATGTACATTACTCAACACCTGGTGGCTAGCAATTAATTTATTACATTTAAAGCCCACCTCCCCCTCTCATAGTGGAAGGGTGGTGTATTCCCACACATTGTGGTACTGATGGAACTAGCTCCCTCCCAATACCTAGGATTGCAGGGAGGTGAGGGGGAATCTCCTGATGTTACTGCAAGCAACACATTTAATCTAAGGCCACTAGTGTAGGATTGAAGACTTCATGAGTTAGGCTAATTGCACTCAGCTTTATTTTTAGTTTAATTGTTTTAATTGCTAGCTGTTAGTCCCTTCTCCTTCTAAAAAAGCAAATGAAGCAAAGGGCCTCTCCTAATAATAATAATAATAACAATAACAACAATAGTAATAGTAATAATAAGCTTGTCTAGATCTTATCACTGTGTGTATTATTCCCATTTGAGGAAGGAAAACATATGAAGGGGGGATAAGGCTTTAAAGAAATTGATGAGGAGTGTCAGCTTGATATTAGCAATACTAATGCGCTCATTCCTTTCGGCGTATGAAGACTGCAGCTATCCCTATGTAGCAGAGCTAACACGATGTTGTATTCGCAGCTCCCCCAAGCCCTGTAATAAAGGCAGAAGAATGCAGTGTGTGTTGGGACGCTGCCACCATCCGATGGAGCACCAGTAACCCAGAAGCAACAGACTCTTTCACGCTCGAGTACTGCAGACAGTATTCTCCTGAAGGAGAAGGTCTGAGGTCAGTCCCCTGTGCTCTGAAATGCAGATGGGATGGATGGGAAGCTAAAAGGAATGTTCCAGAATTGGGATTATTTTGAGGGGAAATAATTTTGTGCGGCTCGATCTTCCTAAGAGAGATCAGCTTTGCCATGGAGATTAACATTTGTGCCAGATGCTAATCTCTGAGATTATACTCGGAAAATCAGAAATACCTTTAATTTGTGCTGCTAAAGAACAAAACTACTAGAGACTAAACCCCAAAGGCTTCCTTGGGTCCTGTCCAAGCCCTCCAGAAATGGATTAGATGTACGAGGCCTTGGGCTGACCTATCTGCACCAACATCCTATGCAAGCTGCTTTCTTTCCTGTTGAGTTCATCTGCAAAGACAGCAAGGCCGGCATAACTGCAGCACTCTTCCTAACTGCTATCCACTTAGTGGATGATGCTGGGCCTGTATCAGAGATACAGCAGTTCAGATTCTATGTGGACGTATCCCAGCTTCTCAGTCTGCTAGGTCAAGGGCTCTCACGCTAGCAAATGGGTGAGTTTTAATGTTCTGCAACAGAGGAATCCAACATAATGGTTGTGCCAATGGAAACTTGGTGCGTAACAGATTCCACTTGTGCAGCTCTGCTCCACTGGTGTGAAACGTTTTGCCAGTGGAACAAGAATGTCAGTTGCTTTATATGCCACTACATTGTGTACAACCCTAAACTGATATTGTTCAGCCTGATGGAATGACTGTTATAAAGAGACAATGGGATATCCCTCCTATATGCTTCCCTGAGCTGCTTGGTGGACCTGTGGGCTACAAGTGTAATAAACATGCTGAGCAGATCTCCGCTGTCTTCCCCACCTGCAAAAAAATTATAATGCACTAGATCAGCTTTCTCCCAATCTGGCACCTTCCAGATCTTCCCCAGCTGGCTGGTGCTGATGCTGCATTGCAAACCTAAATATCCGGAAGGCACCAGGTTGGGGAGGGATGCCCAGGTGATGGAGCATGTGATGGAGGGGGAACTTGCTCTGAGCTTAGGAGCCCAGTCCTGGAAGAAGGATGGTGATGTTCTTCTTATCAGTGAATTCCTTAGCTGAAAAAGGATAAGTTAGGAGGCTCCCATTTTGCTTGTGCCACCTCCTCTATAGTTTACTTAGCATAATGGTTCATTTGGACCTGAAAACCATTTTCTCTTCCTGTTTTTTTGCTTTTTGTTTGCATTTTGTTTTGCTGGCAAATGCAAGTTGTTAAAGGGAGCAATGTGTATTTGCATACTGGCCTCCATCCCGGGAGCTGTGTCTGTCCTGGGGAAAGAAGGATGAGCTCCAGAGCAAAGACTGGGGTAATTAATTCATTAGCTGAAGGCAGGGACAGAGCATTGCTATGATTCAAAAAAGCTTATTTTATTTTATTTTATTTTTGCAATTCATTTAGTGGTTACACATTTTGTTTTAATTTGGGGGGCGGGTTAAGCAGCTTTGCAACTTTTCTGTGATATTGACTCCTGGGAAATCTCAGTTGGTAGAGCATGAGACTCTTAATGTCATGGGTTCGAGCCCCAAATTGGCCAAAAAAATTCCTGAGTTGCAGGGCATTTGACTAGATGACCCCTCCAACTCTACAATTCTGTAATTCTTTGAGAGGGAAAGCTCTCCCTTCCAGCTCCTCTAAAGACCTGCCACACTAAAGAAGCCATATTTTCCCAGACAGAAGGTGCGTACACAAAATGTGCTGGTTGCATGAAATAGCCACTGAAAGCTCTAGTGTGATTTCTTATCTCAAGCACACGGTCTATTTGCGCTCATGATTGCATTTGAAGAACAGAAGTGATGTTCACAAGCTCTTCAGTCTTGCCACATCTGCTGTGTTTATTACAGCTTTGTGGAGACACAGAAAGCTGTCTGTTCAAAACAGCTTGCAATAGCAAAACTTGCTGAAGGAACACTTTTGTCTCCCTGTGATCAAAATTAAGAAGAGAGCAGCACTTGAAACCTGAGTAGAATTTTAGATGCATTAGCACTGCTTTGTGTTATGGGACATGATTTGAAAATCAGTCTTGCTCTGAGCATTTGTTACTTGGGTGAAGAGTAAGGTCCAACCTGAAACCAGGCCTACTCCCACATGGACAGAAGGCGCTTTGGTAACAGATTCCATCACAAGTTTTTTAAAATCTCTGTATCAAGTAGCTTGCTGTCCCAAACTAGACTCATCTAAATGTTGCCATAACATAGTGCTTTAGTGTCAGGGTGGGGAGAATTCGGGTGGGTTTGGTTCACATCTTAATGCAAACCTGCCAAATTCACACTCCTGGGGAAAACAGGACTAAAAAACAGCTATCTGATGAAATTTGCATTTGCCAAATTTCTAGTCCACAGATGGAAGAGAGATTTGGTTTGCCTCACATTTTAATGCAAACCTATTTGATTTGTATTCCCGAAATGATATGCAAACTAAAATGAAGTTTGTATTTCTCTGCATTGTGTGATGCTGTTATCCAATCAAGTAATATGTTTATTAGGGGAAAGTGCATTATATTACAGATGGTGGTTTGCAAGAATGTGTCAATTAGGAAAACTTTCATACAAAAGTGTGTACAAGAGGAGAAATGCACACTTTAATGATGGTGAATTTTCATGATGACTTATGTGGGACTTGGGGAAATCATAGACTGATACAGAAATCTGGACAATTGAATTTAAGATTGGAAAAATGAGAAAACTAAAAGTTGGGAACTCATCCATCCCTGTTCGAGACCCTAGTCTATAGCAAACATCAAATGCTTGCTTTTTCTCTGACTGATGTTTCTATCCCACTGCAAACAGCAGCAAAGAAAATGGGATAATTCCTAGCAGCCTGGCTCTCTAGCGTCACTTGAGGTCCATGATAAAGAATGCTTAGCTAGAGGGGAAGCTAAGGAGAGCTATTTTTGTGGCTGATTTCTCTTTATTTCCCTTAAATAAAAGAAAGCAAATTATGGAAGGCATAATTCCTTGTGTCTTTCATACAGAAAGAGGGGAATTGAATCAGCAATAAAAGCAAATTTCCTAGAATCATCAAAGGAAGCCACAAAGGAGGGTCATTGATTCAGCAAGCAATTGGATAAATGCAGTTGGGAGAATATAGCAGTAAAGTCTCTTGATGGGAAGTAAATTTTGTTTTCTTTTTATTTGTTTAATAAATAGAAATAAAATGCCATTTATATTCCAGCTTAACTTTCTCCTACAATGCACCAACATTATGGCTTTACGAGTTAGAAGTAATATCGTACCAGAGGGTTTCCCCTAATAACAAACCCCTAATGGAAACATAAATATTTATAATTAATTACTGTTACTGCATCATTACTTTTATAAATATATATCTGTATACATATTTATGGGGGTGGAGACTCTCCTTCAGGTATACAGGGCTGAGGCCATTTAGGGTTTTAAATGTCAGCACCAACACTTTGATTTGTGCTCGGAAATGTACTTGGGGTCTTTCAGGACTGGTGTGACATGGTCCCAGTGGGTTCTCCCAGTTAGCAGTCTACCTGCCGCATTCTGGATTAGTTGTAGTTTCCGAGTCACCTTCAAAGGGAGCCCCACATAGGGCATATTTGAGTAGTCCAAGCAGGAGATAACCAGGGTATGTACCACTCCAGCAAGACAGTGTGCAGGTAGGTAGGGTCTCAGCCGGCATGCCTGATGAAGCTGGTAGACACAGAATTAACCTGTGTCTTCATGGACAGCTGTGAGTCCAAAATGACACCCAGGCTGCACACCTGGTTCTTTAGGGGCACAGCCACTCCATTCAGGACCAGGGAGTCCCCCGCACCTGCCCGCCCTCTGTCCCCTAGAAACACTACATCTGTCAGGATTCAACTTCAATCTGTTAGCTGCCATCCAACCTGCTTCTCTTCATTCCTTCATTTAGTAAATGGCTTATCTGTTAGCTGTAGTGTAAGGAGCAATGCGGACATGTAGCATATTTACTTGGAAGTAAGACCCATTAAATCCAATGGAATTTACTTCCTATTGCATGTGCAAAGGATTACACCCACGGTTAGCAGAATGTGGAGTTTTCTATAACTGGTCAAATTTCCAGTCATTTCTCCTGAACAGAAGTTTGGGAGAGTTGAAGCAAGTTAATTCATTATAAGGGACGCGGGTGGCGCTGTGGTCTAAACCACTGAGCCTCTTGGGCTTGCTGATCAGAAGGTTGGTGGTTCGAATCCCCAGGATGGGGTGAGCTCCCGTTGCTCGGTCCCAGCTCCTGCCAACCTAGCAGTTCAAAAGCACACCAGTGCAAGTAGATAAATAGGTACCAGTCTGGTGGGAAGATAAACAGCGCTTCCACGCGCTGCTCTGGTTTCGGTGTTCCATTGCACCAGAAGCGGCTTAGTCATGCTGGCCACATGACCCAGAAAAACTGTCTGCGGACAAATGCCATCTCACTTGGCCTGTAAAGCGAGATGAGCGATGCAATCCCAGAGTTGTCCGTGACTGGACTTAACTGTCAGGGGTCCCTTTACCTTTACCTTTAGTTCATTACAAGTCAGAGGGAGGAGAAGCAAATGTTGATTAGCAATTTGTACAGAACCAACACTGAACCTGACAAAGCAGCCATTGCCAGCTGTGAAGTCCACCTTCATCCTCCCTGCCTGTAGGGGACGCTGTAACAGAATTCCCGCTGCATTCATCCACACTAATTCCCAGATAATTCAGTTGCATTGCTTACAGTAAAAATGATCCTGCTGGTGAAGCATTGACGTGCATAACAGTTCACCATTTTTTATGTGTAGTAAGAGATAACATTGTACATTAGAGGGGAAGAGGAGAAGCGCAGTTAGTCGTAGATTGTAGCCAAAAGCAATAGAGTTTGATTCCCATAACTTTTTAGCAGGGGGGGGTGTTTTGGGGGGGGTCAATCCTAAAGTTGTAGAATGTGCGTAGGAACTTCCTGTCTTAGAGGAAGAGGAATGGTACATTTAAAAAGTAGTGTATTTTGTCCCTTTCTTTCTTATGTCCTCTGCATTCTGTCAAAAGCTCTCATAGCAACCGCGTAATCTTGAAAGACTGCCAGGATCTGTCACGCTCTGCTAGTACAATGGAGCCATTCTATTTTCAGTGGTACTTAAAGTGCGTAACTGTAGTATATAGACTCTGCTATATAGACCATCTGTACTGCTCAGCGTATTTTAAAAGACTGATTACATCACCACCACCTTCTTCTGTGATAGGAGTGACATAGAGCTTATCCGCTCTTCCCTTTTGCCTTGCTGTTTCTAGGCACAGGTCTGTGCTTAACGCTCTGGGTCTGAGCATCGGGGAGGTTTTTGGCCCTGAGCTTTCTCCATAAAAAACTGCTCTTTAAAGCTCAATTGGAGCAAATGTCAATTTGGGTTCTCTGCAGATTGCTCTTTGCTCCAGGTGAGCTTTAAGTGGGTTTTCATGTGGAAAGCAAACAAAGGTCGGGCACTCTCACACAGAACATGAACCATGCCTGGAAAGAGCAGAGGAAAGGTAAGGTAAGGTGGATAAACCTATTGTTCAACAGATTGTGATAGTTTACATTATATTAAACCCCAAAGCTGATCTGGAGACTAAGAAATGAATGAACCATTCCCCCCTTTGCTGTGATCAATATCTTAGCAATACATTATCTGTGCTCTTCCCTTGCTGTCACTTTAGTTACACTAGCTCTAGGGCAGGGTACCTCAGGTCCGGAGGCCAAATGTACCCCTCCAGCCCTCTCTGTCTGGCTCTTGGAGCCTCCTTGGGCTATACCTCAGCTCCAGGCCATATTCCTCAATGTGCTCCACATCCTCCACAATGTGTTCCTGCTCCACATCCCCTTCTAGTTCATTTATCTGGCTGGAAGGTGCCCTTGAACTGTAACATTCCTGGGAACTATAGTTGGCCAAGGGTTCTGAGAGTTGTTTAAAAAAGGTAAAGGACCCCTGACAGTTAAGTCCAGTCACGAACGACTCTGGGGTTGCGGCGCTCATCTTGCTTTACTGGCCGAGGGAGCCGACGTTTGTCCGCAGACAGTTTTTCCAGGTCATGTGGCCAGCATGATTAATCTTCTTCTAGCGAAATGGCGCACAGAAACGCCATTTACCTTCCTGCCGGAGTGGTACCTATTTATCTACTTACACTTTGATATGCTTTCGAACTGCTAGGTGGGCAGGAGCAGGGACTGAGGAACGGGAGATCACCCCATCGCGGAGATTCGAACCGCCGACCTTCCAATCAACAAGCCCAAGTCTCCGTGGTTTACACCACATAATGCTTGAGGGAAGGGAGCCATGACTGTTCAAAGTGGTACCCTAGAGACTTAAATATATGGTGCAGGAGTCATTTCACTCAAATTGTTATCTCTTTAAAACTTTTTATACCCTGCCTATCTGTCATTAAGTAAATAAACTCCCAAGGTGACCCACATTGGATATACCTTGCCATGTAGCATTCTGCCTTTGCATTTCTGTTACGAGTTGTTCCCATATGGGAGGGTTGACTGCATTTGACTGCTTATCTCTGTTTGCAGTGAGTGTGCGTTTGTTTTCCTGCGCTTGCTGCATATGCTGGCACTTCCTCGGAAATGTGGAGCAGCTAGCATTTGTTATGTGAAAATATTGTGGATGTGTGGATGATATGTAGGAGGGCACTGGTATCCGAGTGCCAAGGCCCTGCGCATATACTGCTCTAGTCTTCATTAAGGCTGCACTGAATATTCTCTAGTTTGCCATGAAATCAGCACACTTGACACAGGCAACCTATGTGGGGGGGAAGTACCCACTTTGCTGAACGTGTGAATAATATCAGTGGTCTTTGCTGCCACTTGGATCCCTTGGTTGCTGCTTTTGCCTGACTATTGGCCATGGTGACTGGGGCTGATGGGAGTGAGAGTCATAGAATTATAGAATCTTAGAGTTGGAGGAGACCCCAAGGGTCATCTAGTCCAACCCCTGCAATGCAGGAATCTCAGCTAAAGCATCCAGGACAGATGGCCATCCAACCTCTGCTTAAAAACCCCCAAGGAAGGAGAGCCTACCACCTCCCAAGGGAGACCATTCCATAGTTGAACGGCATTTACTGTCAGAAAGTTTTTTCCTGATGTTTAGTCAGAATCTTCTTTCTTATACAGTGGTACCTTGGGTTACAGATGCTTCAAGTTACATATGCTTCAGGTTACAGACTCCGCTAACCCAGAAATAGTACCTCGGGTTAAGAACTTTGCTTCAGGATGAGAACAGAAATTGTGCGGCAGTGGCACAGCGGCAGCAGGAGGCCCCATTAGCTAAAGTGGTGCTTCAGGTTAAGAACAGTTTCAGGTTAAGAACGGACCTCCAGAATGAATTAAGTTCTTAACCCAAGGTACCTCTGTAACTTGAATCCATTGGTTCAAGTCCTACCCTTCAGAGCAGGAGAAAACAAGCTTGTTCTCTCTTCCATGTGACAGCCCTTGAAATATTTGAAGATGGCTATCATATCTCCTCTCAGCCTCTTCTTTTCCAGGCTTAACATACCCAGCTCCTTCAACCATTCTTCATAAGGCTTTGTTTCTAGACCAGCAGCATCTCAAAAGTCTCAGGTTTCCCATCCCTGATTTAGGTTTTGTTCACTGAATGTGGGTATTCAGAGCAGACCTTGCCACTGAGATCCCCCTTCCCAACTGCAGCACATCAACTGGACAGGTGACCTCTGTCGCTGATGCTAACCAGGAGCACAAATGTTCACCTGATTGAATTACATGTGCCTTGTTGAATTGAGGTTGTGCAGTCACATTCCCCTAGGACAGGCTACTCGTTTTCATGAAGCTGAGTTATATTTGATTTTGTATTTATTGTATTATTCTGGGATAAGAGTGAAGGAGCCTATAAATCGGGTCAGATTAAAATGGCTGCTTACCAGCTTTCCTGGTGAGCAGTGGTTGCAGCCTGATGCGGCACCTCCTCTCCCCTTGGGCATGCCGCACCATCTTTGCCTGTCTTCCTGCCAAAACCCATCCATTCAACTGGGCCAATCCACAGCAGCCGGGGGGGGGGGCATGGCGAGTGGACCTGAGGGAGGCAGGCTTCCCTCAGGTCCACCCTCCATCTACTTAGCCCAGCCAACCCCCAAACACAGCACCCAGTTGGTGCGCCGGGGTTGGGGAGGGGGCTCTGTGGCTGGGCATGCAAGAAGAATATGAAAGCCTTTGAACTCCACTCTAGCTGAAAACAGCTCTCTTTGAAGTTGGAATGTATTTCAACCCTTCAGTTTTTTTAATGGCGAAAGGGCATTGTATAAATAAATGAGATGTAGCGACCAGTCCTCTCAAGGTCTCTGATGCAGAACTGTGTTGACAGTGACTGCTGTTTGCTCAGCATAAAGAATATGTATGAAGTAAAAAGACATTGACTACACTTATGAACAAAGAATAATGCTTTAAAAAAAGAAATCAACCATGAGAAGATATGTCCTTTATTCTTCAGCTTCTGGTGCTATCTGGTGGAAGTTGGTGAAAAAACAGCTTCTAGCATTAGAGTCTGACAACCTGTTTAAGAGCATTGAAGCTGTTATAAGTAGAGGCTCTGTTAATTGTGATGTGGGCATGGATATATTTTATCTCACTATTATCTTCAATCAAGTAGGGTTTTCAGGTTTTGGTGCCAAATTTGTTTATCATAACCTTAAGGGATATCAAAACAATCCCAGTTTCATGCTGCCTTCAGCTCTCTGTTGTATGTCTCCAGTCCAATAGAAGTGTTATTGTGTCGTGTTGGTCTTTTGAGCTGGTGCAGCAAAAAAAGAACGCAACTCCTCACAAACACACTCCTTGTGCCCTGACAGGCTTTGGATACGGCAGTGAATCTGCTTGTCTGCATCCCCGGCCACTCATTAGGATTGCTGTCATCGTTTTTCTTTTGTTTCCACTTCATAGTCTTCTCAGTTTGGACCTGCTTTGGGGGGATTTTGTCATGTAGCCGTTTCTGCAAAGCTGATGCACCAAACTAGGTTGGCAAGGGGAGTGGTTCATTGAGGGCTCTTCTTGCAAACATGGCTTCTGACAATCTCATACAGGGAGAGTCTCCAAAGTTCCTTCCCTGTGATCATGCTCATCTTTTTGAAAGGTCTGTCTTTCCAAAGGCAGCTATAACATAGCAGTCAGGAACCTTGTGGTTCCATGGGCATCACAGATGACACCTGGTGATTGACAGGTGAGTGGCCCCACTGTTGGTGAACTGCAGGAGGCCAGGTCCTGTTCCTCAAACCCACCATAAATGTTTCTGTTTCAAAACTGCACTTTGGGCAATGGTTTCTGTGAGAAAACGCTTTTTACCTTGTTTCTTCTTAGAGTTTTTGTCTAAGTTGGAACTGTTTTGTATCGATACTGATAAAATGTGGATGTGTGTGTATATATTAAAAAATCCCAAGTTGTCTTCCTCCCCTCTTTAAGGAGAAAAATAAAGGTCCCTTTATCTTTTCCCCTGCTGAGGGAAAAGCAGCTTGAGGGCCAGGAGTGATTTTTGAGAGGGCAAACAGTTATGGATTTTCTTCCACAGAATTCAGAATATGTTTATTATATATTTCAGATCCCTGGCTGGAATTAAACGACCTGAAATGAAAGTTCACCTAGAATCCAATGTAAATTATTTCTTTTACGTCAGAGCAATTAACATCTTTGGGACAAGTGAACAGAGTGAAGCTGCTCTCATCTCGACCAGAGGTAGATAAACACTTTCTAACTCGTGGGAAAGGATTCCTTTCTGTCTCAGAAGGAAATGCAAATGCCTTTTTAGTAAATTCTGTTGTACATTGTTTCATTGGCAGTGATTACTGTAGGCCTTAAGATTTTGTGATTCACTACAAATGCACAATGTAATAATAATCCCTGAAGTGGATTTTATTTCTTTCCTGTGAATCACATCAGGAACTAGATTTCACATAATGAAAGAAACAGCTGCCCCTGCTTTGCAAGTGTCACCAAGTGGAACCATGATATGCCTTCCTGAGGAAACTGAAGCCACTGGGTAAGTCTACTCATATTTACTCCTCCTTACTATTGAGCTTTATTGTCAACAGGATGTGAAGATCTATGAAGGTTAGGGATGACAGGAATTCATTTCAGTTTGCCTCGAAGCATGAAACCACCAAATTAGCAATTTCCAAACCAAAACACAACCAATTCAATTCTTAATTCAGTTCAGAACCAAGGAGTGTGTACAAAAATGTGTGTACTAGGGTGAAAGAATGTGCAAATTGGTGAAAATAGCATACAAAATGCATTATATTACGCAAAATTGCTTTGTAAAAATCTATACTGGACACATCTCTCTCTCTCTCTCTCTCTCTCTCTCTCTCTCTCTCTCTCTCTCTCTTGTTACTGAACTGGTTGGATTAAAAACAAAGCCAAATATTCCTATCCTGAATATTTGACAACTGATAAATTTCAATATGCATACATTAAAAAATGCAACACAGGCTTGTTTCTTCTTTTGAGGCAGGTGAAATCTCACTGTTAGGGGTCAGCAAACTTTTTCAGCCGTGGGCCAGTCCACCGTCCCTCAGACCTTGTGGGGGGCCAGACTATATTTTGAAAAATAAATAAATGAATGAATTCCTATGCCCCACAAATAACCCAGAGATGCATTTTAAATAAAAGGACACATTCTACTCATGTAAAAACATGCTGATTCCCAGACCGTCCATGGGCCGGATTTAGAAGGCAATTGGGCCGGATCATGCCCCCGGGCCTTAGGTTGCCTACCCATGGTGAAGACATTGGGGCTTTCTGATGTCGAAGGTTCAAACCATTGTTTGACTTTGGCCAATATAATGCTGCATTTGTTTCTGTTATCTCTGTGTGCAGCATCTCCCCAGTACTGGGAGAGCTCCTGTCTGCTCGAGGATGGCACTACTGGGAAACAACTGTGAGTGGCTGTTCCGCTTACAAGGTTGGGATCTGCTATTCTACTATGCCACAAGACAGCATCCTGGGGCAGAACAATGCTTCCTGGTGCTTGCATTGTCCTAGCAAGACAAGGTAATGATGAACATCTTATTTTTTAAAAAAGCTGTGAAATTACATGTCCTTTCCAGTCTATTCCTTCCCCTCCCTTCCCCTATGGGTGCATGGGTGTGTGTTGATTTTCTGTTTGTAAGCCACTGGAAGATACTTGGCAACTTTTAAAAGGTATACAGCACTTACAGGGGTGTCATTTATTATTAAGTGTTGTACTTCTGCATCCCTCAAGGTTCCCCCAGATTCACTGGAAATTTTGTTTGTGGGTAGTGCTGCTTTGTCTACAAAATGATCGGCTTGGCGCCACCAGAGTTGAGCATTAGAGGGAGTGATAAATAGTGACGTGCTGCCTTGGAGGACAGCTTGGATGTTATGGAAAGTGGCAAGAAGCATATGCACAAGTGATGTCCAAAGGAGGACATCTTTGGACATCTTCTTGTATGTTGAGATGAACAGGCTCCAGATGCAGGGACAGCTCAATACATCTCAGTGCAGGAGAGATGTGCAAATGCTCCCTCCAGGTATTACACTAGTGGCGTGGAATATGGATGCTGAGTTGCACATTGGCTTATCACCATGATCTGCAACTTCTCATCCTGTTTTAATGCTCCAATCCTAAGCAACAGCTGTGGGCAGCAAGATGAGGTTCACAATGAATTGGGAGGAATGTTAGCCCTTTATCCATGCTCTGTAATAAGCTGCTATCAGCTGCAGGAGGGAAACATCTATTGGGCCCCAGTTTCCCTTGCCATGATTACAACAACCCTGTGAAAAAGGCCCATTTACAGCTGGGGTACTGAGTCTGAACGCTTAGGATTATAGTGGCTCAAAGAAATCCCATCTCACTATTTTGTTCCCGTTTTTTCTGGATGGCACAACTTTCATCAACTGAAATAGGAGCAGAAATTTGAGCCTCTGGAATTTGTAGCTGTAATGAATACTCCAACCACAAGATCGACCCGTCTGTTCCCTGGTCTGATTTTCCTGTGTATGTGAGACATTTCTACCATAGCTGCTTCACCCAGGGTCATCTTGATGATTTAGCAGGTGACAGGGCGAAGGAGAGGGATGTTTTTTTGGAGAGAATCCAGGACTCTGAAAGTCTGGATGATTGGTGACTGAGAATAGTGCTCTGATGATATACTCCCTGTCCTCTACACTGGCAGATAAGGTTACGTCGTGGGTGCTTCTTAGGCTTCCACTTTCCATAATCTGATCAGGAGTTTTAGTATTACAGCCATAACCATCAATGGCAGGTTATATTTAATGCTTGTAATGTTGCATTTCAAGGTGCCCGCTTCCTGAAATATTTTATAGTATGTAACACATTTCAAGTGTTTAATTTGCATCACATAAATTATCTCAGGAGCAGCTCTGTGCAACAGGTCAGAATTAATTGTCCTGTGTGGTAATTTACTTCTGTGTTGAACTGTGTGTGCAGAGGGGATTGACCCAGAGGGGCTGGAATTGCATCGTCTAGACCCACTCCTAATCTCTGTCCATTCAAGGTGTGGTTTCTACAGGAGCCTATGTGTTTTTGCCCAAATGTATGTAGGCTTCCTATGCACAATGGTGGTAACTGGACCTCATGCTAAAACATGGTTTATCATGATGGGAATGAGCTGAGGCAATCTTTGGATTCATGGACTTCTCCCTTCCCTGCTTTGGTATGGCTGTAAAGAGAGGTTGAGGTGCTTTCACAAACTGCAGCTTGTCCAAACCTGACAAACTGTGGTTGATCTTTAACTATCACCTGCTGAAACAAACCATCGTCAAACCATGGGCTATGACTTTGGCTCGTTTCCAACAAGCCATTGTTTAAGCTAACCACCTGGAAATGAATGAATGATTACACAAAGTTATTATTTTAATGTTTTGGGTGGGGGAGGGGCTGTGGATTAGGAGCGACCTGCGTATTTATTAGGGAAGTAAAACCCGGAATAGTCCATCCATCCAGAATGACCTAATCCTTGTGTTTGGCGTCTCCTAGGTCTGTCATTTGATTAATCACTTGACTTTCAATCAATTACATTGAAATAAATTCCAGAGTTGCAGTCATGTTAGTCTGCTGCTGCAAAATCAACAGAGGGTTTTGTGGCACCCTAAAGACTAATAAATTTTATTATGACATAAGCTTTCATGGAGAGGAGTGGACCCTTAGACTGCAATAAAAGTTGTTAAGTCTTTAAGGTGCCACAGGACTCTTTGTTGATTGAAATAGATGTGCATATCAGAGCAAAACGCTTACAATGGGCGTCCTTTGGAGGATGCCAAAGGAAAAGCAGTGCCCCCCCCCGCTGCCAAAGCAAGCAGGCCCAGCCGCGGCCTTGCTGGAGCCCCGCGCTGCCCGCCTGGGTAGGAAGGGGCACCGGGCAGGCGGTGGTGGGGAGTGATGCCCCCCCCCGCCGCCCAAATGCAAGCAAAAATAAAGAAGGCCGGATACGCTCCTGATCCTGATCTTGATCCCAGAAGGAAGAGCAGCAAAAGAGGCTTGAGCCCCGGGGTCAGCCTCTTTTCCTTTGGCCTTAGGCCCACCCCCGACCGGCTGTCCATTGTCCTCCCTGGCCGGGGGCGGATCAAAGGCCAGCTCAGGCAGGTGGGTGGCACCCGCCCAGGTGAGCCTCGCTTGGTTCCACAAACCCCGCCCACCTGTGGGGAAGGGAGGGCGGATATTCTCTGCAGTGTGAAACATTCAGTTTACTAAACATAGCAAAAGCAACTGTTTAGGGTTAAAGGTAAGGCCACCCTTGCTGCTTTGCTCTGCAACATGGGAATGTGGAATGCTTGTCTGCAATAAAAGGCCACAGAGCCAAATGCAATTCCATCAGTACCACTGAGCACCCAAAGTTAAAAGAGACATTGTCAGAAGCTTCTGTTGCTTTTGATATTCACCTTGAAATGCAAAAATATCTGCTGGCTTTGAAACAGATAGTGCTAGCAAAAGCCATCTTAGCTTTTTTCATCAAGCTTGGCACAGCAGGTGGCTCTCTATTGGGGAGGGGGGAGACAACACGCTAAAACAAATGACAAAAATTTGAATGCATTGCTTCCTTCCAAATAATATAGCAAAGATTGATTGGCCAAGGGCTTAGGTAAGTAAGGTACCCTGCCGTAGGGCCAGTCTGCAGACTCTAGGTGTGCTCCTCAAGGGCGGGAAAGCGCTGTCCGGAGAACTTCGGTCATGGCCACGTGACATCTGCTTGGTGAGCCAGAGCCGAACGGAAACGCCGTTCCTTCGCTAGAAAGCGGTTCCTATTTATTACTTGCACCGGGGGTGCTTTGAATGCTAGTTGAGCCTGGAAACAACGGGCGCACCCGCGGGGATCGAACCCAACCTTTCGATGGCAAGCCCTAGGCACTGAGGCTTTAACCCACAGCGCCACCCGCGTCCCTTCCCCAAAGGACCATTAGAATGCATTAAAACAAGAGTGATGGATTGCTTGCTCATATGGCCATTTTAAGGAACTGTCTCCAAAGGAACAACTGGGGTAAAGAGACTTTAAAAAGTCATTCAGATAGCCATTGAAATGCATTGGTATAAGCTGGATCTGGGTAAATTGCCCTCTTCGACACCCCATCACTCCATCCTCATAGAAATCAACTGTGTGTGTGAGTGCTACTCATAGGCATGCATTGAGAAAACTTGGATCCAGATAAATTGCCTGGGCTGGCCCTACCATTAAACAGAGCGAGGCGATTGCAGCTGTTGAGCGGCAGTGGTGGCAGCCTGCTAGTTGTTCCTCCTCAGCCGTCTGGCCATTCCTGTCTGTTCTCAAACAGATTGGTGTGAGCCATGCAGCCAGGCCTACACCTCTTAAGTTAACCCACCACCTTAGGCACAGTGGATGGGGACCCTTTTTGGCCCAGCATGCCAAATCCTTACCTGTCTCTACCCAAGCAGGCCAACTTTCATTGGGGACAACCCACCTGCCAAGAACCTGGCATCATTATGACACCAGACGATTGACAGGTGGGCTGTCTCACCCATCCATCAAAGTCCCTTTGTGCAGCACTCAGGGGAATCATAGATGTGTAAAGTTGGAAGGGACCACGAGGCCCCTCTAGTCCAACCCCCTGCAATGCAGGAATCTTTTTGCCCAACGTGGAGCTCGAACCCATGTCCCTGAGATTAAGAGTCTCGTGCTCTACCAACTGAGCTATTCTGGGAGGGCCAAGCAGTTGGCAGTGAGCTGTGTGTCACAGCGCTTCACAACTGCATAACAGCCAGCTTGGGAACTGCAGCGTAAGGCAGAGGGCAGATGGTTCCGTCAGGCAAGCAGACATGGAGCAAGGATTACTGCTATGCTGAAATCCTCCCAAGGTCTGGCAATTCTGACAACACTGTTCATCCGGCTCCAGACTCCTTCGTTCCTTCATCCAATCATAATGCATTTCAATGTGTGAAAATGTGTGTATTAAAGCTTTATCCGCTAAGGGTTTCCATTTGCTAATATCTGGCAGATAGAAAGAAATATTGCGATAGGCTGTGCAGTGAATTCTTGTTGACCTAATCTTGCACTCTTCTGCAGTTTCCTGTATAAGGTCCTCCATCGTGGTGAAATGAGTGATGTCATTGTGACAGAACAGCCTCCCCGCATTGGCATTCTGCTGAATTATAATGCTGGAAGACTCTTATTTTTCAACGCGGAAAGAGGGCAGCTCCTGTTTGCCATCCTGCAGAAATTCACCGATGCTGCTCACCCTGCCTTTGTGTTGGAGGAGCCAGGAGTCCTTCACCTGCATACGGGCATGGAGCTTCCAGAATTTGTGAAGCAAAGCTAAACATTTTCTTTCGAACTACGTGCAAGGCACACACACACACAAAACGGATAGAATGTGCTTGGGGTGGCCTTGTTTCCTTCTTCTAAGATAAGTTAATGTTTAAGAACTACAAGCCAGAGAAATGCTCTGTGAACTCAGTGGCTTCAACAGGACTTCCATCATACATTCCCCCTTGCCAACACTACTTCGTAAAGTATTTTTTATACTTGGGGGAAGTTTCAAAAGCAGATCAAGGAAGCTCCTCTTAGGAACAAAAGTGTAAGGTTATTCACAGAGCCCACATAACTCACCCACATGCGAAGTCCCTGGGTGGTGGTTAACTCTCTTCCCAAGTTGTTTTTATTCACATAAGGCGCACGTGCAGACATACACAGAAAGAAGAGCCATAGCTCAGTGTTAGAGCATCTGCTTTGCAGATTTGATCCCCATCATCTCTGGGTAGGACTAGGAGAGACCACTCTCTGGTGCCCTGAAGAGCAGCTGCTAACATGACTGAGCTAGACTGACCGGTAGTTTGACTCAGTATTAGGTTCTGTGATCCTACATAGCACAAAGACACACAAGTTATCTCTTTACTTACTACTTTCTGTGATGTATACTAAAGGACTGCCAAAATGTTTGTGCTACACTCACTGGGGGAGGGTGCCAGGAACTTCTCCATTGCTCCCTTTTGAAATGAATTGATTCCAGTGCATTTTCACAGGGCCCAGCAAGAATAAATTATTGGGAGGAGTGTGCTCATTGTCTGCAATCCAGCTAGTTGAGGACTGACCCACACAGGCCTACCTCCAGTCAAGATGGGTGGGGCTGCTAGGATTTGGTTAGAGGGGACTGCTTTCAGTCTCTACACCCCATATAATCTCTGACCAGGTTAGCACTCCTATTGATATTAATAACATTGTCCATCTTGATTTCAGTTACACTCATTTTTATTTTTATTTTTGACTGACAGGCAGAGCCTGGCAGCTCAAGTGTGGCACATATAAACATACAGAGTTTCCAATCTGCTAGGATGTTTGAGCATAAAATGCTGGATTCTTATTGTACTGTCCTAACATTTGGGGCCTAACTGGATCAGGGCAGTTTGTTCATATGAAAATTATTCTAATACTGTTTTAATGGTATTACGTGCAATTAAAAAATTAAAAACGAACAGGTTTTATTTTCAATGTCATTGCCCAGAAAAACAATATATCATTCACTGCTTTAAAAAGAAGTGGGAAATGTTTCTGATGTGTGAACAATAATGTGTCAGCTTTCTGAAATTGCTCTTCTTGGTGGTGATGAGCGTTTATTGTAGTATCAGTACTGCACATGTATCCAGATTTTTCCAGCACCCACACAGCGTTGTTGGCATGAAAATGCCAGCCCTTATTCCCCCCCCCCCCATTTAGTCTGGATTTACCCTATCTGGGTAAATATGTTAAGTGGGTGGGGGGAGGGAGGGGAGATACAACAAAAACCTATTTGCGATACCCATTTTTAATATTAAGCTGTCAAATGGAAGAACACTAAAATGTAGGGAAACATACAGGGTTTCACCAAGCTTTTCATACCTGTTATCTGCTGCTCACAATCACAGAAGGAGAAAGCGCGTTCCACAAGCACCTGATGATGTGTCACCATTTATTGCTGTTGAGCTTGCCTACTTGTTCTCACAGAAATCCTAATACATCATTAAAGAAGGAGAGGCTTCATGTTCTCCCTCTTTCCAGCCACTGCCCTACCCAGTTTCTGTTTTTGTTTTTTTATAATGATGAATTTGCAATGTGGCACCTGGGCTGGATCTACACTGACCCGTTTAACGTTATTAGAACGATATTAGTTATTATGTTCTGAAACATCATAGGGCATACTTGTAAATTAAAGTTTTTCTTTACCTTTAAGATTTTGACCCAAGGCAAAATCTTAAATGACAGGATCCTTTAAAAGAAAATGTAAAAGACAAACAGAGTTTATTTAAGGGAAAGGTAAAGGGACCCCTGACCATTAGGTCCAGTCGTGGCCGACTCTGGGGTTGCGGCGCTCATCTCGCTTTATTGGCCAAGGGAGCCAGCGTACAGCTTCCGGGTCATGTGACCAGCATGACTAAGCCGCTTCTGGAGAACCAGGGCAGTGCACGGAAACGCCGTTTACCTTCCCGCCAGAGCGGTACCTTTTTATCTACTTGCACTTTGACGTGCTTTCGAACTGCTAGGTTGGCAGGAGAAACATACTAGAACATAAAATAAGGCATGTAAGAAAGCTAAGTTAAACAACCTCAGTATGATACTTATATCGGAGTGTTGTCAAGTCTTGCTCCTGTGACTTCCTCATCACTTGTCTTGATACCATTGCAGCACTGAATTGTGCACCTTAGGGACATTGTCCCCGTTTGCTCCAATGGGAGTTTTCCTTCCTCATTATTAGTATTATTTAAAGTAGCAAAACACAAAAATATGTAACATAATAACAACCAAAGCAATAGCACCCCTCAATGGTAATTGCCACATGGCTTCGCGTGTGTTTTTTAGCAGTATCTCAGCTGAGAACAGTAGCTGCGACCCCAAGTCTGATATTTATTTATTTTAAACCTATAATGTAATTGCTAAGAATCTTGCTAGTTTCACATGTAATTCAGCGATGGGAATCTGAGGCCCTCTAGATGTTGCTGTACTCCAACTCCCATCATTCCTGATCACTGGCCATGCTGGCTGGAGATGATGGAAGTTGCAGTCCAACAAAATGTTTGCTGGGCCAAAGGCTTCCCCAACTCTGCTCTGAATGCAAGCTTTAATTCTGTTGAAGAAATGTGTTCTTTATTACTTAGTGGCTCTCGCCCAGTTCTCCAGCCTGTCAAGATCAAGATCATTTTGAATCTCGATTCTCTCTTCAACGGTCTTGGCTCTCCCTCTTAGATTCCTATCTTCTGCAGATTTGATTAGCATTCCCTCTACATTTTCATCCAAGCCACTGATAAAAACGCTGAACAGCATGGCATTGCACTCAGTACTTCCCTCCGGCCTGATGCAGAGCCATTAATATCATGATGGTTGTTCAACCAGCTATAGATCCAGCTAACGGTAGGCCAGATTTTGCCATCTTGTCAACGAGGATATCATGGGGGACACTGTCAGATGCTTTGCTCAAATCAAAATATTCTGCATCCACATCATGAGTGAGCATGAGTGACTGCCAGCACATGTTCTAGATTTACTAATACAGAAGCCCATCCAGAGGAAGAGGCAGCCGAGACAAGGAGCCTATTGCTGTGATTTGCCACTTTCTTCCTCATCCTTCTCTGCAGGTAGAAGCAGGACCACAACCTGGTAAGTTACAGTGAAAACTCTGAATTGGTTAGTTTCCTCCTTCATGAGGCAAGCTTTGTCCTGTATCTTAGGACACTGCTACACAGCTGCAAATAAAATGTTTTAGATGTGTTGTAAAATGCAATATACACTAGATGGTGAGCCATGCAAAAAAAATTAAAAAAGCATTTTCACAGCATTTTTATATGTGTGTAGATTCCACCTTAGTCTGAGGATTCCAGGCTGCATAAGTACAAAGGAGGCACATAGGTTAGTCATATTCTTGCTCTAATGTGAGAGTAGAATCCTGTTTTTAGGGATAAAAGAGCTTCCTCCACAATATATTGCAAATTCCATACATTCACATTGCGATCCAGATGTAGTTAAATGTCAGTGGCTTTGCCATTATAACAGCACTGAAAAGTCACAACACTGGATATCAAGGTTGGGGGCACTTTTTCAGCCTGAGGGCCACATTCCCTTTTAGACACCCTTCCAAGGGCCACATGCCAGTGGTGGGTGGAGCCAGAAGCAAAAGCAGACATGGCAAAAATTGTAAATTTTACCTTTGGTAGTTTCTACACACTTCCATACTCTCTTCCATCCAGGCATGCAAAAGGCATTATCAGAGGTCAAGGATGTGTTTCAGCCAAGGAAAACCACACAGGGTGCAAAGTATTTTGGGTAAGGGGTGTGGCCTGGGGCCAGTTCTGAGGGCTAAACAGGGAGATTCCTTCGTGGGCCTGAGGTTCCCTAATTCTGATGTATATCTTCCACTGACAGATGTTCCTTTTAGGGCTTTGGAGATGGATGAGTGATATACTGCTGTTTTTAACTGATGCTTTCAATCATGTTTAAAATTTATATTTTAATTGCTTAAATTATATTTTGGAATTGTACATAATCCACCTTTTTGGGTCAATGGTGGCTATACATTCTATCTATCTCTGGTGGAGGAGCCATCCACGAAAGAGTGATGATCATGTCTTGAAGGTATTATGTAAATTAGATCCAACTCAATAACGATTTTAAATAGCAACTATAGAAGGATCCCCAACATCGACTTTAAATTTGAATAGGGTGAAACAAGTTGCAACCTACGAGAATTCGCCAGAATAGTAGCTGTGCTAATCTGCTGCAGCGAGAATAACAAAGTGCCTTGTGCAATCTTAAAGACTATCTAGTCACCAGTGTAATCGCCTTCAATCAGTTCTATTCACTGTGCAGCACAAAAAATGGACATGAATTTGACATCAGAAATGGCAACAACTCATAAATCATTGGGAGAACATTAAAATCTCCCAGAACCTTTTGTTTTGTTTTCACTAACAAATATTGATTAACAAACAACTGCAAAACGACAACAACCCCCAAAAACTATCTGACTTGTACAGCCATCTTTTATGCTAGCGTCCCATATTACAGTGCCAGTTAATCTTAAGACCTGGTTTGCACATGAATGCCAAGCCAAACCATGACTTAGTGTGAACCGGAAAGGAGACCGCAGCCTCTGTGCTCCTATTATTATTATGCAGCCCTTCATCAAAGAACTCAGGGTGGTTCACAAGATAAAAATACCTACTCCAAGGTAGTATAATAATAATAATAATAATAATAATAATAATAATAATAATTTATTATTTATACCCCACCCATCTGGCTGGGCTTCCCCAGCCACTCTGGGCGGCTTCCAACCAAATATTAAAATACAGTAATACATCAAACATTAAAAGTTTCCCTAAACAGGGCTGCCTTCAGATGTCTCCTAAAAGTTTGGTAGTTGTTCTCTTTGACATCTGGTGGGAGGGCGTTCCACAGGGCGCCACTACCGAGAAGGCCCTCTGCCTCTGATGAGCTGCAACCAAAGTTTGTTCTTGTTTTATGGCTCATGGTTTGTCTGCTGCAGGCTGACTGGGGAAGCACAGGAGAAGGCTTAAGGTTATGGTACAGTGGCTGTGATCTCCTCTTTGGGAACTCTCGTGAATCCACACTAAGCCATGGTTTGGATTTGGCTTAGCATTCCCTGCAAAACTGAGTCAAAGACTCCCAGTTCTACAACTGGCCCCAAAGCATACTTGTTTGAAGATGTGATGCCCACTACATTTTCTGAGCTATATAGGCAAATAGTCTACATGGTAGGAAGCAGATTCCTATGCTAGCCTGAAGAAAGAGAAACTGGCCCAAGATCAGCCAGGGAGCTTCTAAGCTGAGGAGGGGTATTTGAAGCTGGGTATTCATACTGTGTCCACCCTGCAAACATCTGACTCCAGCCAAAGTCTGAATTCCTAGATGTATTTTTTAAAAACTTATTTTAAAGGATGTACCTCTGGGCTCAATTTTTGTTTCTTGCAGTGCCATTTTCAGTATTGTACATAATTGTTTCTTCTGGTTGCAGCAGCAGCAGCCTAGATCTAAAGCCTATTGAAGTCAGGGGAAAACCAAAACTTCAATAGGTGTGGATTGGCCTCAGTAATCCTGAGGTCCTGAGATGGAAAATATATAGCTGGCTGTGAGATAGAAGCGTTTGTTTTGCTATCAAGGGAGTGAGGAAGCAGAGTCTCAGTAGAATAGATACTATTGATCTGCAAAACTCACAGTCTTTTCTGTTCTAGAAAAGAACATTAAGACGAGGTTAACGCTTTAGCTCAACGCCAGCACCAGGGGCCTGCCAGATATCGCAGGACTACAGTCCCCATCATCCTTGACCATTGGCTAGACTGGCTGCAGCTGATGGGAGTTGGAGTTCAAAACCTCTGAAGGGCACCAGTCAGCCACCATTGCAAGGTGTGAATTGTGTGTGTTTGTGTGTAAGCATATATACAAGAGTTTAACAGTTTCATTACAGGTAGTCAGATGACAGAATTAAAACAAAAACCTCA